TCTTGGAATCCAAGACATACAGTTATCATCAAGTTGATGAGCGTATAGTTAAAAGGGATCTTTCTTGGATGTAACCCGTGGGCGCAGTGCTCTGGACCCTTTCCTCCGGCTGCTAAGATGTCTGAGAGTAATTGAGGCCGTGGTTCTTAATCTGTGCATTACGCTTGGTCCTCCGTTCCTTGGCAGTGATGCATCTGCGGCTGTCGTCTGCTCCAGTGGGAGAAATGGCCTACATTTTGAAATCTGGGACTTGACAAGAATCGGGAAAATCACAGTCGTCAGCTACCACCATTGTAATCTGTCATGGGCTTTTCATGAGAATTTTACCTCATGTGTTAAGTAGAAACATAGGTCTACTGATTGCCAGATGGTTAATCAAAGCAAAAAAATACCCTTGGTTCTCTCACAGATCGTGCACATTGAGAGCATCCAATTTTTTTTTTTAAAGTGGAGGAACGTGAAGATGAGGGAAAGTTGTGGCCTTATTTTTGTCAGGCCTAAGGGAACAAATAGGGTGAAATGCGTAGAAGTGTTGTACAGCTATCTCATAGAAGGATGTATAATGTCCACAAAGGGAAGCGGGGTGTTCAGTAAAACCCCATTTCCCCCCCCCCCCCCCCCACCTCCACCCAAATATACAGGCCTAGGCTATTGAACCTACACCCTCAAATGAGGAACATGTCTCAAAATTAAATTCAGAGATTACAGAATTGTGCAGAACTGGAACGTTTATTGAGAAAATTATCCAGAGAAATATGGTTTTTCGCTCATTCGCCCCATCTCTCCCATGTTACCCTCCAGGGACTGATGATAGATAAACAAATACTTCAGACAGAACTGTAGCTGCTGCTGATGGACAAAACATTGATAATTTGCTGCCACATTCCCAACAGGCTTCAAGTCCCCCCCCCCCTTTAACCAAAATCTTCAAGTTCGTGGTGTAAATCAGACTGAGTCCCTCCAAATTCAAGTGTTTCCCTCATCAAGGGAGATGAGCATCTGTCGAGAGGAATTGTTGCGTGTATCCGTCACCGGAGCCAACAGATGAGTGAAGCTATCCCCAAGGTCCTGGTGTGCTACCCCAGTCTGCATTGCCCCACAACCGCCTGATGCACACCCATCACGATCCAGCACAAAAAAGCCACGAATCCTGACATGGAGTACACTCTCAAGCATCAGATTCCCTCTTGCTCCCCATATATTTCATCCCTCTCCGTGCCGTGTCATGTAAACGGAGAAGCACAGCTGGCGGGAGCTGAAAACCAAGAAATTGGAAAGGCTTTTTAATGATTTGTAAAATGTTTTCATGTTGAGTGAGACCAATTAATCACTGGGCGGCCCTGTCTGTCTGTCTGTAGTTCATGTTGCAAATTGCTCGCTGGCAGATGCCCTCATATTTTTTAGGGAGACTGTAATGATAACTTTGGGTCTGATTACAATAACTTTGATACCGGGACTCTGTTGAATGCTAGCCCGTATTGATTTCTAAGTGGGTTATCATTCAAGAGGACAATGGAGACATTGGCTTTTACAAATGGGTGCTTAATGTGCTATTTTTGTAATATCTGGATGGAAACAGTCTGTTGGCATGGCATCAAGCTGTGTCTTCCATCTGTGACCAAGTTGAACATCATGGCTAAATCGACCCATTTGTAGTATGTAATACCCTTCTCCCACTACAAGTACCGGCAGTTTAATCTGGTAATTTCCTGCCTCTGGTTAAGCTTCTTCTTTTTTTGAACCCAGGAGTTATTTTAATATGTAGTTAGTTTCCTATTTATTTCCTTTGCAAGTTGTTTTTCCCCCAAACCCTTGGTCAGACTGCCATTGCCATTTCTCACTGCATGTATATTTAGTAGATAGACATTGACAGGGCCAGGTCTGGACCGGATGTGTGGATAACACACCAGTTGGTCACATATACTAATCCTGCTCAATTTGCCATAAGCCCGTAGGGTATGTCGTTTATCCCAAGATACATGTGTAACTCGGCTCTTGAACCCAAATGGTTACTGTTGGTTTTTTTGTGTGGTTTTTTTTTACAGAATTGCGACATGACATTGTAAAAACATATGAGGTTTTAAATTTTCAAATCCATTGAAGCGCTTTGGCAGGGTTTGAATCTCGGAGAACATTTTTTTAGTTTCCCAAAATATACATTTTCTTCCTTTTATTGTTTTAGATCAAATTCTACCTTTTATTGAGGCAGATGTAATTGTTGTATTCTGATTAAGGGCTCTAAAGGATGTTTTGTTAATGGGGAGTAAAGTCCAAGAACCATTCGGTGGACAACTGACGCATGCGCGCAACGGTCGACTTCTGTACTAAAAATAGAAGCAGCAATTTGGAAGATTGCTTTGGAACATTGGTTTAGTTTGGAAAAAGTGAATTCTTGGGCAATTTTGGGTTGAAGTTGTCATTATTTAAAATAAGATTTTGAGATTTTACATAATGAAATCTTGCTGAAGCAGCACCATTTGACAACTTGGTGGGTAACAACCAGGGCCAGTCAAAGGAAAGATACAACATTTGCAGACATCAAAAAACGCAATGATCAAATTATCACATAACACCCTACTGGATTGTTAGGGAATGACAGTCTAAAGCATCCTGTAAAATTGTGGCTCCTGGTGTGCTGACATTTTCAAGAAAATGTGTATTTTCCAACGCTGGTCAGCCGACCAGCGTTGGAAAAAAACTGGCTTTTTTTTCAAAAACTGCTCCTTAATTTTCATATTTAGTTATTCATTCCGCATTTTCTTTGCAATTGATTACACACCTTTGAAGGGGTACAAGCCTGCTAGACTGATTCTCTGACCGTACAATTCCCCAAAGTATATAAATTGCTCCGTTTCATCTTAGGTGGGGTCAGGGAACAAGACTACGAGAACATGATTGGTTTTCTTGGTTTTTCCAGCATCTTAAAGCTCAAAACGTGAAACAAGTCAGTTTAACAATATTTGCTATAACATATCAATCTTCCAAATCCATTTATGTCTGAAAATTGCAACAAAAGCAAATAGGCCCTACTCCAACCCATAGGCATCGGCACCAATGTCATGTGGATGCTAAGCTGTACAAAGCAAGCTAGACCAAACTGGTAGCTCTATAGCCTGTTTGCACCGTAAGCTTCAGAACGATAAACTTTACACGTAAATTGTATACGTACATGTACATGCAGCTAAGTCAGCGTCTAAAAATAATAACATAGGGATATAAAGTACATGTTATTGACTAGTAACTGTAAAAAAATTCACATAATTTGCATACTCTATTTCCAAGTTACGACTATTTCAATAAAAAGATCACAAAATTCAGCTGTCTACCACTGATCATTTACCGTTCTACAAACTGACGAATACCCATTGAATACAATAAAACATGGACGTTTTCCCACCTCCATGAATGAACGAAAACTTGCAAAGGAAAACAGACAAAAAAGTGCCATCAGTATTTCAGAAAAAAAATTGACTTGTTCCTCATATTCAAAACATAAATCTGACAGTAAAAATAATGTTTCAGTCTAGACTCAACTGATTAAAATCTCATACTTGAATGCCTGTGGTAATCTGTAATTCTCACTCAGCTCAATAGCTTCCAATGGCATTCCACGGACAGCTATTAAATTAGTAAAACATACATCGCTTCTGATAGCATGGATCAATTTCAGTAATTTTTATTTCTTCAGATGAGTGGAAGAACATGCTCTTTTCAGATATACATGTACTTCATTGATTGCTTTTTAAGAAAAAAAAAATTAATCCAAGTCACTTTCTGTTTGACTCGCTCTGTATTGTTCTTCCATGTGGCATTCCAATTTGCAAAATCTGATGGAGTCAATTCTAATCTTGATATGATTTCAAGGTGCAAGGCGTCCAACGAAAATTACCCATTTTGTTTCTGGCATGGCATTTCAATTTGCTTTTATCCTTAGAAACAGGAATATCTGTATATAGTGACAGAATATAAGTGGAAACTTTTAAAATTGAAAATGCAGACACGTGTACTTTTAAGGATTAGTCATAGTGCATTGGACCTCTTAATCAAAAGTTGCGATTTCATTGTTTTTCAAAAAGTGCCTTGGCATCTTGATGTCAAAGCGTGATAGTGAAATTGTTTTTTGTTTTGATTTTACACATGCAAAACATATCTTTTGTGTTGGTTGGCAAATGTTTACATCTTGAAAGAATTATTTCCATTGTTTCAGCAACTTCAAGTTGTTAGTTACCAACATGTACCTTTTCTTGTGTGTTATTCTGCATATTATGTGCAATTGGTCACGGATGGAAATTTGATTACAAAAAGCTACATTGTATGCAAATTGAATCTGCAAGTAAATGTCTAGTATCCTTAGTTTGTTTTGTTAATTAGACTTGCCCATTCAAATTTGAATGTGTACAACTATTTCAGGTATATCCTATGCGAAGAGCCTCGAGCTCTACAAATGGTTTAGCCATTCTTACCCATTGTGTCAGGGCTGAGATTTTCCTGGAAAATTTCCAGATTTGCGATTTAAAAAAGTCTTCATCACTGTATTGCTTACGTTGTGTCAAAGGTTCATATGAAAGAATTGCAATGGGCTGTTTTTAAGAGTGCCATTTTTTTTAGTCATGTATCATAGATAGACCATGTGTAGCTCTGTTGCTTTAGCAGCCCCAAACCCTCGCCACATTTTTTTTTCATTGATTTTTTTTGTTACTTTCTCTTGATCTTACCCTGATTGTGTAAACACTGTATTGGTTGTAGAAATCTCTTTAATACACAAGAATACAAGAGCATGCCCTGTACTATGTGGTTTGACCATCTGTGTATTCTATAAGGTGTTCTGCCCTTGGGCAGATCTAAGTCATTGGAACAGTAAAAGTAAGGGAAAACAAAATTCAAAGATACAATTGTGTCAAACACTTGAATAAGGCAAGTCTGTATACAGGTAAATCACTTTATGTTTTTTCCCCTCAGTGGTATAGTCTCAATACCATTCGTTTTTTCATCTTCCCCAGCTATGTGTGGCACTCCACTGAATGGAGCGATTGCAGCGTGGATGCCGTCCTCAGCCCATATGAGAAACTACACTTTGGCAATGATGAACCACTTTGCGGTGGAGGGATGCATCAGAGGGATGTCTTCTGCACTATGCTTAATGATACTGGTACTGGTAAGTTAAAGGCATTGGATCATTGGCATTTATCCCAAAAGTAACTGTCCATATTATTCTTAAAAAGCTAACTTGGACTAGTGATCATACTGGTACTAAACACCCCAGGAAATTATTCCTTTCTGGCATGCTGCCACTTAGAACAAACACTTAAGAAATGTAGGTGATTTCCAATGATCAGTCATAAGATGGAATTTTTTTTTGCGCCGGGGTGATATAAATCAAATTAGGTTTTGCCCTTCACCGACGTTTTTTAAACACTGTATACTCAGTGTGTTACCTCCCGAGTGAAAGTTGGAAAAAATCACTCGGGTGGGACTCGAACCCACGACCTCCTGCTTTCTAGTGCATCAGTCAAGTTACCAGCTGTGGAAGGCCAACTTGGCTGCTGAACTGTTGGGTCTTGCACAAATTTCGGGGAAAATCTTAGACTTCTTTGAATCAGTAATGAATCTTGATTTGGTTCAGATCTGGCTCCGGTGTCGCCTTCCCTCTGCAACCCCAACACCAAGCCAGAGCTGATAAGCCCATGTGAGGTGCCCTGCCCATCCACCTGCCAGGTCACACCCTGGAGCCAATGGAGCGACTGCATCTCGGAACAGTGCAGCCCTGAAAACAACAAAAAACTCAAAGGTGGGTACTGCCTAATAATCTTCATCCTAGCTGGAACTATGCATCTTAGAAGTTTGAATAGGAAATGCGACAGACTTTTTTTCTCCAAACTTGACCCCCATTTCTCTCTTGCCTTCCTCTGAAGCAGAACCCAATCCATTTTCCACCCCAGTGTGGGATCGAACCCAGGACGGCAGCATCAAAGGCAAGTTGTCTTCACCTCCCGTGCCTGCCACTTGCACTTCTAAACCAACATAAAAACCACACTCACCATCACTAGTGCTTTATCCAAGTTGTGAGTGTGTGTCAGTTCGCACCTGTGTACCGCATAACAGCTGCGTGTATGTGTTATGTGCTGTGTTTTAATAGCGTGCGACTGATCAAATTTTTTTGCAACATGGATATAAGTGATTGCGGATGTCCCTGTTCTCGGACGGTGTAAATTCTTGAGAGTCCATGGCTTAACATGCCTGCATCCATTAAAAAATGAACGTTTTGAGTGCGAGTTTGAAAGCACTTCAAGATGGACTGATGGTAATTGAAACATACTCTTTATTTGGATAGACATATGTACTTGCCCAGGAGAGATACACAGATCAAGGAAATGTAAATTGTGTTCGTACAACTCGTCAGAATTTAGAATTTCTCAGAGATTTCTCATACTGAATGCTAGGTTGAATGACTTCCAATCGGGTCTGGTTTTGAGGGCAGACCTCAAGGTTGCTCACTAAAATTCCAGTGGCCTGCTGCATTATCATTCATTGCTAGTCTTTGTCCAAGACTGATGCCTGACAATAAAATCAAGTCTTGGGAATGTTGGCAATCCGACCCGCGTAATTCCAAGCACATCTCACATGCCCACATTGGCTTAAGTATACGTGTAGCATGTCTGAGGTATGTTAAGAATTTATTGGATCGGAGTGCCGAAGTTTCCAAGACTGGATTTGATTCATCTGGTCGAAAGCATCCCAACCGCCCCAGTGCATCGTCCATGCGTGCCAGGTATGGAGACCAGCTGCACAAATGGATTCAAATTCAAATTGAGTTTTGGAACAAGACTAATTATATAACTGACTTACAAAGATCCTTGCCATTTGATTGGTGGAACTCACATCACGAGACATTCATTATTGCTCCCATTCACGCCGGGTCTCAATAAGTCCCATTCACCCATGGTGAATGGGATTTACTATTCAACAATGGGATTTACTATTCATCCTTGTTCCATGGCGCGGTATTTGTGCGCAAATGCATGCTGGTGTGCGCGTTCAGCATTGCGCGTAGCGCGTATTGTTCTCAAGAGCTAGTACAGAGTCGGGTTCAAACATTTGGTGAAGGGGTGGTTTGGAAGAGAGAAATGCATTTCCCACCAATTTTGAATTGAAATTGGAGTTCATTTTAACTGTAAATCAAATGACAAGGATCTGTATGTCAGTTATATAAACAAATATTGAGTGGCTTTAAATTATGAAATGGTGGGAATATAATGGCTCGGTAAATCTGGACTATTCCATTTCATGAGGCGAAAGCCCAGATTTTACCTTGCGATAATATTCCTCCCATTCCACTCTGAGCCACTCAATATTTGTATACTAAACACCAGTTCAATGTTGCATGGCAAATTACCTTCAAAGTTCGAGAATTGAAGAAACAAACTCATCGGCATGAACAGGATTCCAACCAGTCGCCAATCCAGTTGAACAATTGCATGGCCATGATCCCACATTGAGGTCTCAATTTGTTTGACAAATGGGGCAAGATGGCCCAACATTGTTACACATTTACTTCTAACTCAAATGGACTGTGCAACATATTTGTGCTTTGTATTAATGACAGCACTGCATTTGTATGACCACATTTTCTCGGTTTGTAGGGATTTACGCAAGTTTGTTTTTGACTTAACAAAACCATTTGAGCTATTTCTTCATATTTTATCATCAGTTTGTGTGTATTTTGTTGTTTATGTCGTAATGAAGAGATGGGGACAATAAGTAGAAAGCTCTGGCACATCAGAATTTCCTCCCCAAATTGTCAATCTGAGCTTGTGTTGCTATAGTGTGTGGTGTTTATGTTGATAGCATTAGGCCAATATGATTTCTATGAGACTTTCAAATAACGACCAATATAAGAACACAAGGCTACGCTGCGAGTTGCCCGCTTCGTAGGTGGTTGTGTTCTTCGCGCTCCATCATGTGTGAGTGTGTAACAACTCGTGAACACACACAGTCTTGTTCCATAGTTGTGGGGACATACACTCATCTGTACAAGGTATTTGTGGGGACCAAAAATGCTGTGGGAACAGCAGAAAGTCCCCATAACTCAGTCCTAATTTGCCTCACAATAAAAAACTTCCCCATAACGCGGTGTAGGCCAGGGCACGCATTCACACCCGTTGTGCTTTATAGAATAGCGGCCATTTGGTTAAAACTTGAAAACAACAAAAGTTGTATATACATGTATGTGTGTCAGTTTTTACCTGACCACGCTGTGACTTGTCAAATGTGAGTGGTGTTCTGTTCACTTGTTCATTGTCAGTTTTTGTTGCAGTTGTTGAGCATGCTCGACTTAAGATTATCACAAATCTTTAGGGTTGACAAACATGATGATAGGGACCTCAAAACCTTAGAAACTTGCTGAAAGTCTGTTGTGCTATTTGTACAAATTTACTTCATGACCCCTTTGAATTTATGTCATATCTTCTCTTTTCTGCCATTTTAGCAGCAAGCCTTGTTTCCATTAAACATGTTCACATATTGAAAGTGATCATATTGAAAGTTATTACAAAGTGACATTTGTAAAGGGCGAGTCAGAAATTGTAGAAAGTTTTAATATTGAATTTGTTAAGAACTATTATAACTTTACGAGAACAAATTTGTGGTTTAAGAAAGGAGGACCAACCCTTTCTTCCCGATCCCATTAGTCTTTTAATGTAGGTCTTTGTGTCTGTGTGTTTGCTTGTGCCAGGTCACAAAATCCGCACCAGGGAGGTTGCGGTGGAAGCAGAGGACGGCGGTGAAGACTGCCCTCACCTGACGGAGTACGTGCCCTGCGACATCGCCATCTGCTTCAAATGGCACGCGGTGGACTCGGGAGAGTGCATACCGGCGGACAGCACGGCCCGCTGCGGCCAAGGAGAACAGGAGCTGAACATCACCTGCCTGGACATGAATCAAGTAAGACACTGGCAATTATTCTAGTCCAGACAGCTCGTCAATCAATATGTTGCCTCTTTTCTCTGTGATGTTTGAATTCAAGTCTCACGCGTGTTGGGATTAGCAGGTACAGGCATGCAGCTGTTCTCATCAGACAGGCGTTTTGACTGCAATCTGTCTGTCAGTGAATCAAGTCAAGGTACAAGTTGACGTTTGATTGTCGCCTGCTCATCCTTGGCAAATTCCACTGTAGCTAATTCTAAAAGAAAATGCCATTGACCGTCGCGCCTTGGTGCTATATCCTCTGCCCAATTAGTGTGTCCTTTCTAATAGGCCCCTTCCAGTAGCTTCTGTTGTGTAATTTTCGCGAGGGGCATCTTTTTTTGATCTTTTTTTTTCATCTTATTTTGGTCAAGGTGGGGGGATCAAACCCCCTCAGCCCCTCCCCTTGTGTGCACCCCTGTTTCACATGAAGGGCTGGGGTATATATTAAAAAATATTATCTTGGCAAGAATAGAAAAACTTTAAAGTTCTGTTTGATAATAAAAAAAGGAAAGGATCCTTCCCCTGGCTTTTCAAGTAAAGCTAGAGGTAAATAACTAAGCATCGTATTTAAGGCATGCATGTAGGGCTTCTGTACCCTCCAAAATATACCCAAAATCCATGCGTTGTTTTTTTATCTAACATACATAAAACTTTTATCTAACAAACTTGTAATTTCGTAGGTTCAAACCCCGCTTCAGTCAACTCTTGATTCAACCTTAAGATAATTTTCCTATAGTTTCCCAATGTGGTTTCTTTGAAAATTTGCAATAAAAAGCCGATCATCTCTGAGTGATCCCTGTTTGCAATTTCCCAGGTTTGCAACATTGCTAATGTTGCTTGCATCGTGACTTTGGGCATGGCCCTGGATATGGGTTTATAGCTTCTGACTAGCGCCTCTCGAACAAAGACATTGACTAAATGGGGAGCTGCCAACATAGGGCTGGATAGCTCAGTTGGTAGAGCACCGGAACGGTTATCCGGAGGTTGCAGGTTCAAACCCCGCTCCAGTCAATATCTTTATTTAACCTTAAAATAATTCAACCTTGTAATTTGGACATTTAGTACTCAATGAGAACATAAGGCCATGGGTTTTCAGCGATTACATTAGTTTGTTTTCCTTCCAGTGGCGTATTTAGAGGGGGCCATGGTGCCATTCCCCCCCCCCCCCCCCCCCCATTGAAGGAGTTAAAACAATGACTTGCTGCAACAAAGAGTGCCTATTGTCCCATGGTGTCCAATATCGTCTGCTTTGACCAGCGCCTCCAATAGTCAGACGGTGTTTCCCTCCCCCCCCCCCCCCCCTGCGTACATACACCACCATTTCCTGCCTGATGTAATTAATTCCGGGGAGCGATCACTCTCAATGGAAACACCCATTTTTAAATGAATTGACTGCCCTTCTCATCCAACGCCATGTTAAAAAAGAAATGAGTAAACCAAGCGGAGCTGTCGGGTTTCTTTGAAAAGCGCACGCAGTTGACAATGTGATTAATTTCCTGTGCTGGTAGAAATGTCGGCGTCACCTGTTGGATGTCAATGAAAAAATTACAATCATAAATCAGGCAAAAAGTTGGAGGGTGCGAAAACTGTCCGGAAGATAAGATGCGACAATGATGTCCTGATGAGCCGTATGTCATCATACAATTCATATATTCTCAGCTGTCGCAGCTTAAATCATATCTCAGAGGTTAACCTGGTCAAAAGAAGAATTTCACGTATTGATACGGTAGCCTTTTTTTTTTTTTTTTTTAAAGATTTGCGAGATTGCACTTTCCTTGAAGCATGACAAATCGCCTCAGTTGCCTCTTGCATTGTTGGCGTGGAGCTGTTGCAGTGTGTTATCCTTGTTCGTCAGATTCTTGAGATGTGTTACATTGGACGGATTGTGACGGGTGTGCAATGTTTGGATAGAGTTATACAACAACGGGGGGATTTTGAGCTTTTTCCTTGTGAAGTACGACTATTATGCAGACTTTTATTACGCAGTGTTTAGCCACAGATCTTTACTGACATGTCGTATGACCATGGAAAGCATGATTATTATTAGCATTGTTAACAAAAGAGCAAGGAGTAAAATGGTAGAACAAAATCGTTGGAACTTTGTCGGCTTTTCAACTTTTTATGGCTTTTGATCAAAATGGCATTTCTGAATGGGGAATCAGCAAGGGCTTTTACCGGCGACCAGGCCCATGGGCAGGGGAGGTCACTTGCTCCTCATGTACTGCGCCTCAAGAACTTGTGCAACATGTACGTGAGCCAACACATTAATGTATTCCTGCTATGGATGCTAGATTAGTCTCTAGCTTGATATACGTGTATTCTGTTACCCACTCATCCCCCAAGCTCACACCAGGGATATGCAAAGTACATTCATTTTAGCTGCCTTTATTCCCCAGGTAATTCATATTTGCGCGAAAGGGGAAGCAGTGTATTAATCCGGGTTATATTTTATTCATACCATGGTTTATTAAGAAGGCACACAGGAAAAGGTTAAAGAGTTTCTCTAATGATTGCATTCAGTTACATAGCCCCCCCCCCCCCTTTCAAGCAAAAGGATAAGTTCAGTGGCCCAACCTGTACGGCCAACTTGGTGCCCTGGATGAAATGAAACCGTGCGAAGCGATGGAACCTGATCGGTAGCATCATTAATCCCGGTGTCATTCCATCTGACACACCATCCTCCGACTCATTAGCAAACACAAGTTTGTTCTTGGGACGCTGATGAAACCCTGCGCCGGATCCATATCCGTTTTGGTGCCGGACTTCAAGTCGGGATCAAGCAGTAGACAGTGTATCTTGTTCTTTTGATTGGAACAGTCTGAGGCATCCAGCATTGATTGTTTGTCTTTACTTCGGGTGAATTGAAAACTATTTCTCCTCACATACCGGCATGCCTTTTTCCTGTGATTACAGCGTCTTTCAGTATTTTTATTGCCCAGGCAGTGGAATTGAAACTGAGTCACTGTACCTTTTTTCCCCATTCATTTGAAAACAGTAAACTGGACTGAGTATTTTTGCCAGTTTCCATGCCTTTGATGGCCACAGCTTGTTTTTACATGATCATATAAGGACACCTGTGACTAAATTCTTTCTGTTTGATTGCTGTCAGTATAGTGTTTGCTGTCAGTATAGTGTTTGAGATGTTTTTCAGCTGTGAATTACTTTTTTATGAAATTATTTGCAACTCGATCTTTTGAACTGTATTAAACTTTTATCATGACACCTGTTGCCACCCTGTGTCCGAGATTTTAAAAGACGAACCCCCCCCCCCACTCGGCCTGTTTTTAAACCCCTTCCTCCCCCGCAAGCCAAAACAGTAATTCTGCCTCCTTTACTGTTCCACATTATAACGATACAGGCCTACCTCAGGAAATACACATCTATATAATATTACCTATCATTTTAGATCCAAATGACCAAACTTTATAGTTTTGTCCCCTTCCCCCACCCCACCCCCCCATCCCCCTACCCCACCCCACACCCAATCTACCCCCCCCCCTATCAAATACAACATTCCCTACATGTTTTCAGCATGTCCCCATGTTAATGGAAAAAAACAAATGCTTATTGCGCTGAGCTTAAGTTCACTACACCTGCCTCGTCTGAGTCGTAGAAAGTGCTGTTGTTGTCCGAGGCTCCACGGAAGCCTGGCAATAATACAAAAGATTCCCTTCGCGTAAGGTGGAGTAATGCAGAAGATATTGACTGAGCTTTACCCCCCCCCCCCCCCGCCAATTCGTGCTTCAACAACATAACATGTCTTGGATACCATGGCAACAGTGCATTTTTCTGGCGTCATGGCAATCGGTTGCCAAGCGCTGCCGTAGAAACTTGTTTAACAGAAAATTAACTCTGCGTCTGGTTGATTTGATCCTCCGTACGTGCGTGACAGCAGTGGATTTTATAAGTCATTGCCCTGAGATTTGTTGCTTATGTCCTAACACATTCCCGCATTTCAGACCTTCATTTTTGAATTTTGTTTTTTTTTAATCCGAGATGTAGAGCTTACATGTAAGCTACCGCACATTTGGAGACACCCGAGGTGTATTAATACTTCCACAGCATGTATTTAAAGCTGTCACTTGATTGACAATTGCAGCTAAGATTTGTACGTGACCCTCAAGCATGTTATTCACCCAGGTTAGGCTACTCTTGTCAAGCAGTAGGTTTCTTGACGCACAGAGTACGAGAGTTTGGATGGGTTTGTTGATCAAACAACTATTTTCTAACTAAAATATGATTTGATTTAATTATAAGTGTTTCATTAATTACAATTTGGTTAGTATGTATTTTGTTGTGCATTTCAGTCTACACTTCCATGGCTGCTGTGTTCCTAAGCAAGCAGCTTTACCACAATGATTGTCTGCTGGATTAGAAAGTGCGTGTTCACTCAAGTCACAGCATCATCATTACACACTGACTGAAAATACTCATAGATCAAAGCAGAATCATTAGAAATGGCCCATCCTACATCACATTTGTTGAGAATACATTTCAATTATGTTATTTAACAATTAAGTCCATTTTTTTATGTAGAACGTGGTTGATGAGGACCTGTGTTCGAGTATATCACCCAAACCAGAGACCCAGGTCCAGTGTTGGGTACCATGCCCCAATGACTGTGTCGTGGGGGAATGGGGAGCTTGGAGCCCCTGCAGCATGGTGTGTGGTAAAGGCGGAGTCCAGACGCGATACAAGAACATCAGGGCATATCCTGGACCAGGTTGGTATCGATCTGATATGATTCTATCGAATTGGAATTGGGATAACATAGTTTTGCTCACCCCAGGTGCACCTACCTCACTGACTGACTGACTGGCTCTTGTGAATTAGAGTGGTTGTAAGCTGGTGCAGAGAGCTGAGCAGTGCTATTGTATAGGTTTACTTTTTTTGGACCATCTTTACTAGACTTGCCTAGTCTTGTTTTAAGTCTTTGCTGAACCTTAATGTTTTGGTTTTGTACGGCGTTGTTTTGTTTTATTAAAACTGATTTCTGGTTGTCACTTCTTTGTATTCATTTCATTCAACAACCTAATTCCTTAATCTGTTAAGGTTTTATTAATTTGATTAATTATTAATTAAAGTTCGAATAAGTTTTAAATTTTACAACTTTTTTTCCCTCTTGTTTTGTCTTAAAACAAATGTAGCAATATGCTTGTAACTTTTAAAGGGGCCATGCAGTGAATTTTTTTTAGGAACACATTTTGAGCAACTTTCTACTTTTCTTAAATGTATGAAAACTATTTGACATCCCTTTTTTGGTCAATTTTATTGAAAGCGCACTGCTTTAAACAAGAAACTTCTTTAAAAAATTTCCCATGCTTTTCCGGACAATTGAGGACGCTGTTGCTGTGATGTCATTTCAAGAAGACACTGTTCAGTTTAGGGGTTTTCTGTTCAAATTGTTAACCCAAAATTTGCTAATTGGAAACATTTGTGAGAAAGGGTTGCTCATTGGCTAACTGCCATGTACTTACACAACAATGAATCACAAAGAAAAGAAACTTGACAGCAAAATATCCAAAATTCTAGCAACTTTTTTGTGCTGAAATAGCTGTAACATTGAGGTTTCTGCCTGGAATGACATCACAGTTTTGCTTATGAATATGGACATTTGCATAAGCATAAAAAACACAAAGGCACCAAATACCATTAAAATGGCAAAACGAAAATTGAAAATAAGGTTTAATGGGACACAAAGGTGCATTTTCGTTGCATGGGCCCTTAAATCATTTTGGGGTGTAAAAAGAGTAAACTTTATGAATACGGAATATGAAGTGTAAAAAATGAAGTAACGTTGTTTAAAACAAAACAAAACACCTTAATGTGTCTTTCTTTTTATGTCAGGAGGCTATGAGTGTCCTATGCCCCAGCATCTGATAGAGACGCGAGCCTGTAACGACCACAGCTGTGCACACTTTGCATGGAGGACGGAAAAATGGAGCGAATGCATCAGCGGTCTGAGACCTGTGCAACTAGAAGGTGTGGAAGGGATGTGTGAGGTGGGACGCCAGACTAGGACCATGGAGTGCTATAGGACGTTGCAGGACAAAGTTGCGCCAGAGAAGAGGTTGGTAAAAAAGTGAGAAAAGAAAATCTTCTGGAAAAAAAAAAGGATTTCCGGCTTTCAAGTATTCCTACTTTTTTCTAGTTATTTTTTACCTAGCTCCTACTTCTTCTACTTTTTTTTCTTGAAATTCCTACCTTATCCTACTTTTTCTCCTATAACTTCAAAAAATGAAATCTCATTAAATATTTTTCTTAACAGTGTTACACACTGTCATAATGTAAATTATACAATGAAGATCTTGGGTGATAGAGTACTGCAACTATACTTCCAAGAGCTTAGTTTAGGATGGAGCACAAGTGTTGTGAGTACTGCAAAATGAGGCTTGTCATGAAAATTGTCATCAGCGTTTGATGGATATCAGAGATTTTACAGAATATCAGAATTGTTTAGAGGCAGGATCACATTATGTGTTAAGGTCTAGAAATTGAAAGGAGCCTTTTTCTAAAGTACAAGCTATTACTTTTCAGTTTCCAAAACTAAAACTATTAGAAGTTGTCAGATTCATGGCCTTCATTCAGTTTTCCTTTGGCATGGAGTTTTCTATATGTTGATAAAAATCCTGTTGCTATCTAAGCCTTAAAGGGAGGGTAAGTCTTTAATTCGCTGGCTTGTCGAATATGCTAAGGGATTTCATTGATTAAACAATAGATTGATTGGATCAATTAAGCTCCACCCCATTAGACAGCTGCGATTAATGTTTTAGAAAAGTCTCACATGAATGCATTTGTGAATGCCGCTTGTGTCGGTATCATGCAGTGTGGCAGTGGAGAGGTGTATGTGTTGCCTACATACGAGTGCAGTGGGTGAGGCCTATTGAACAACTTGATAATTTCTTATTACTTTGTGCCTATACAGATGTGGTGAGCAGGGTAAGCCAGCCAGTGTGCGAGAGTGCTACATACCCTGCCCTCAGGACTGTCGAGTCTCCAGCTTTGGCGAGTGGAGCGCTTGCCCGCAATCCTGCGAAACTGGTGAGTTCTCCGTCAAGAAACTGTGTCGGCTCAGCTTAGCTCACTAGTTACAGGGAAGTACATAACCTGTCACATCCAGAGTTTCAACAAGGTTTTGGGCTCTGTTTGCCTGATAATCAGCCAAGAGGAAATTTTAACCTTCTTTCATAAATACCTGAGACAATTTGTCCATTCCTATTGGTTGAGAGCTCATCACAGTTTTTAAACTGCTGTTTATAATAATAATAATAATAATAATCAGGGGACTTATATAGCGTTCTTACACAAACTGGTATCACAACGCTTTACACAAGAAAATAATTAATGTTTAAACATGTGCAAAGCTGAGAAGAAATTCAGAAATAACTCTTTTTTGTATGGCCATCTTTAGGTATGGGTTTCCTGCATGAGCGAGACCGCTTCGTTCTCCAGCCAGTCAGGCACGGTGGCCAGCCCTGCCCCCAGCTGCAGGAACGTCAGGTCTGCCCAGTCCCAGATTCCTGCTACTCCTACCAGTGGGTACCCAGCCTCTGGAGTGATTGCCAGCTGCCTTTGGGAAGGCAGAGGGGTAGCTGGGATCCCTGCGGCGATGGTCTCAAAACAAGAGGTAGGTTCAAAGCCGGTGTTTACTATGGGAGTGAATGCTAATTCAAAATTTATGATATCACGACAAGAATATTCTCTGCGTATTGGAGAGACAATCAGGTTGTTACATTTTACTGACATTTTACTTGTAGAATGGCTTGTGTGGAATGCCTTGGCCTCATTGCCTGGAGTGCTGAACTTAAGGACTGTGGGTAGTTCTACAGGTTTTGGGTCCCTGTCTAGCCTGGGGTTTATGTGCATGTGTCCTTGGGCAAGACACTTTACCAGTAATTGATTCTCCCCACCCAGGAGTAAATAGATTCCGGTGAGGGACCAGAAAGTTACTGTGATTGATTTTAGCTGCTTTCCACCAAAACACTACAGCATCGAGCTGTATATACTCCCCAGGAAGCTGAGATAGTCCATGGAATGTTTCATGGCCCAATGAGCAGGGGTAATAATGATGTAGCGCCTGAAGCACCAATTCTGGTGAATAAATACACATTATAAGGAATTTGATTTCTGTGACTCCTGTTTACAGAGGTGCAGTGTCAACGCGAGGGAGGCATGCCGGTTGACGTGGACCTGTGCCTGCGCTACGGCCCACCCATGCCAGCTGCGGCTGAGAAATGTCGCATCCTATGTGAAGGGGAATGCGAGCTGACCGAATGGCCCCGCTGGAGTGTCTGCACGGACAACTGCAATGGACGCAGGAATCGTAAACGACGCTTGATAGGTAAGATTTGACAGTTGTATTGTAGTCGGGTCCTTTTAAGAGTGTCCTTTTCAGAGAAGAATGAAAGGTCGTGTTGTAGGAATTATGCAAAAGCACTAAGGCTATGTCGACTGAGTTGTGTTCAAAACTTCTTTTGCACATACTTGGACATTTTTTGCATGCATCTTTGTCCAAATACCAAATACTTTTTCTTCGATTTTCAGATTTGTTGATGTTTCTAGTCTTTGATGTGTCTACTAATCATATTTTAAAGAAATAGTATAAAAATCGTGTAATAAAAGTGTTTTTAAGGAGAAACAGTTGGCATCTTTCATTTCAAAAACTACAAAGCATGAATCTTCAAAGGCCTTTTTCTCAGAATTTTACTTTTTTGACGTGTCGATAAATGCGAACTTTAAACAGCCATCACTTGTCAGGAGAATGTCCGATTGAAGTGCAACATGCAGTATTGTAAGGAGCATTTTCATTCTCTTTCCTAATACCCACAAACCCTCATTTCGACCTCTGCCCAGTTCGGTCTCATTTTGCCAGAACACCTCACGTTTGCTCTTTAATATAAGTGCAGGAGCACCAACCATGACCCAAATCAACCCCTAAGAACTGATTGTGTTGAACATCGATTTTGTGATATATATTGATCATAGAGTTATATTTGGAGAACTAGAGGGCACACTCGCTATATGCAGACGTGCCGACATGGACGCACAGTAGCCATTTCTGTGGGCAATTTTTGTATTCTTTGTTAATATAACTCTTGGTGGATATGGGCTGAAAGTGGGCACATCTGGGTATTCCACAATAGTGTCGTGTTCTTAATTAGGCCTATAGCTCTCTATATTTTTTGCCCACCTAAACAATGACTGATGCGCCTCCTTGTTGGCACGTTCACATGTGCACATAGTATAGTGCGTGCGCCCTCTATTATTTTTAAAGATATAGTCCATTATTTGTAACTTGTGCATTTTGTTCGTTTGAAGCAACAAAAGTGCTCAAAATCTAAAGAAGGGTACTGAACAACTAACCTTATGAAGTTTCAGCTCAGCTTCAGCTGTATATTCCAAGAAAAACAGCATTCTAGGATCTCGATTTCAAATCAAAAGTTGCTGAATCATGTTTTGAATTGGGGCTGAATTCAGCGTCCGAGACACGTTCTCACTAAGATGATCGCAGCTACGCGATGTGCGCACTGATCCGACGAATTATAGCAACTGTGTGTGTGTGTGCGTCGTGCCAATGCTTGCGCGCGCTTCGCCGAATACAAAACGAACTACTAATTCAAATTTCCTATGGTGCGTCTTAAGAAGCACCGTTGGAAAGGCCTTCTCTCGTTGATTACTTCAAAATGACAGCTTGCCAGAAAGAATAATTTCACAGGGAGTTTAGTCCCCTTACTATCTTTCAACCAAGTAGTTTTTCAACAATAATTACGCCAGTTACTTTTCGGATAGCTGCAAATGATGGACTATAGCTTTAAGTATAGCTCTATGGTATTGATCAATTTCCCTTTCTGCACAGGCCAGAGTCGCCGGACCCCAGAGTGCGACAACCCCGAGATCTACCCACTCATCGAATATCAGCCCTGTCGCTGCCACACCTACACCCTGGAGCCCATGGGGGTGTGGTCCAACTGCTTCATAGAACCCTCCCAGTTCAAAGTTTCCCCCGAGGCTGGGGGTCTGATGGGGGATTCGGCTGGGGGTGTGTCGGGCGGTTGCGGTCTGGGGGTGAAGTACCGGGCAGTCATGTGTCTGGATGAGGAGAGACGAATCGTGGATGTTGGAAAGTGCGGCGCTGAAACTGGTAATACATTATGATAATTCAGTTGTTATGGCATGATCTGCAAAAAGTAATAATTTGACTCCCTTTGCGCACCCCAAACCTCCCTTAATAAGATGTGGTTCATTCTTTAAATTACAAGTCCAAAGTATAACATTTTTGTTGTCCCTGTTACCTCTGAACTTTATAATTTGCGTCAACTATTGTTAAAACTGAGTTCAGACAATTCTCATTTGTTGGGTCGGTGGTTTGCTTATGCATAATAACTTTGAGGGAAAAACAAGGCATTAAGGAGTGCATCCAGAATTTACAAAATCGTACTGTCAGAAGTAACAGGGAAAGGAAAAAAGTGGACCCCGAATTTATGAAATGACCCATCAGCATACAAATCGCCTAAGCTGTTGTGTACACGATAGAGATTTTCATATCGTGATGCCATATTGCAGCATTTTTATATCACAATTAACGCTTTAGCTCTTGTACCACCCCAAACTGCCCTGCCTGTTACTCTTTATACCACCCAAAACCATTCCAGCTCTTTATGGCTTAATGGATTCGTGGAGGAGTAAATGCAGATTGTGTTGCCGTTCTTTTTCCTTATACAGACTTCACGGTAGAGATGTGTGACATACTCTGCCCAGAGGACTGTGAGCTAAGCCCTTGGTCATCCTGGAGCGAGTGCAGCGAGACGTTGAACGTCGGCCAGAGGGTCCGATGGCGGGAGATCCTCCAGGAGGGATCAGAAGTGGGTCGGCCCTGCCCGATCCCTGACCGAGGCAACAGGGTGAGACATGGGCCCAATGTCTAGCACTGCTTAACAGTTAACAGAATAGTTGTGCTTACTAAAGCAGCTTTTGCACAGCAAATGTTAAGCTAACTTATTTTGCTTAAAATGATAAGCAAGAAAATGTAGCCTTACGGCTAAATAGTTCTGCCATAGCAAGGCCTTCAAAACAGTTAAACTGGTTACAATTTTTCTTAAGAAATGCCCGAGTTGTGATTTTCAATTAATTATCCCATACAAAGACAAAGGTGAAAAGGGGTGACATTTGTTTGCCTAGTGTTGCCTCCACTTTGGGTTTTCCCCCATTTTCTTCATTTTTCACAAATTTGCCTTTGTCTACAATGTCTTAACCAATGTAATCTTGCCCCCCCCCACACCCTTCACCGCCTTTGTGTTCAAGCCCAAGAATTGCTTCCTAGAGAAACAAAGTTGTACTTCAGTCAGTCTCACTTCCAATCCGAAGACCAGTCACAAGTCAAATCACATATAAGATCACATGAGTAACAGGGGATGAACGATGGGTGCGCTCAAGTAGCTCACCCGAAACGACTTGGGTGAAGGCAGACTGGTTAGCCACAAGAGCCGGGCGAATCGGACACACTATCACACTCCATCATGATCCTCATGTGATGTTCGTAGCCGTGGCTGTAGCCATCGACAAAACATCTTTTTTTTTGACTGAGTCTTACCATTCCTTCCTGCATGGCCTTGCTTTGAGATTTACTGCTTTTCCCGTCAATAAAAAAAATGAACGTCGTCTGCGGGGATTGTAGCCTTGCAATGAGATCAATAAATAATTCTGATGTGACTTCAAATAAAGTTGATTTTTTTTGGGGGTTAATTTGATCTTTTCCATTGTCCAGCCGCCATATTTGTCCGTTTTTTTTAAATGCATGCGTGTGACGTATTTCCACTAGTGACTCTGCTCCATGAGCAGGGTCTGTGGTGGCTGACCTGGGTGAGCACTGAGAATGAAGTCAGGGCTAATCGAACGACGCTGAGCTAACCCGGGTCGACCCGGGTGAGCTTATTGAACGCATCCAATGACGACATTGTCTATGTCAATGTTTTTTGGCATAGCCTGTCTCTTGACCTGACACTGGATAACTTGTTATTGACTTGAGATGGACTTGGGAGGACTGAACTACAGCTCTGAGGAGGATCTACATCATGCCATTCATTCGGTCCTTGCTTGTTTACAGATGTACCAGAGGATGCCGTGCCGTTCAGATGCCCACAGTCGCCTCTTATGGTACACAGGAACCTGGCACGAGTGTGAAATGCCCCTGAACGGAAGCTGTGGGGATGGCCACCAGAGAAGGGAAGTCCGGTACGTAGGTCCTTAGAAAAATAGTGGACAAGTCGGTTTTTCTTGAAGGTTTTTTGAAGTTTGATTTTACACCCCAGGAAAAGTTCTTGTGGACATTTCTGTGATTCAAATTGAATTGTAGAAAATGAGTGTAAAGGATACCATTTTTTTCTGTGCATTGAGGTCTTCAAGATTATTTTATAGACCCGTTTCTGGTAAGATATGGAGTTCAGCTTGACAAGAAATTAAGTTATGTAAATTAAGACACAATTGACAAATTACATTTGTACTGTATGTCGTGCGATTGCATAGCACTTTCAAGCTTTGATTTGCCGAAGGGCTTCTCCAACCCGAACAATGTTTGCATTGCAAACTAGCATCAAGCCTGCCATACAAAGGTGTAAATCTAAGCAAAATGTCCATAGATGAGTCTCCAATATTACGTTTCCTCCACAAAAAAAGGGTTAAGAACTGTGCCCAACTGTACCTTGTTGTATCAACAACCTCTTCACTCCCCCCTTCCACCTCTATAATTAAGTTTTGGTTATCGTAGCTACAAGTTGACATCATCTTCTTATTCTGTAGATGCAAGATAGATGGTCCACCGGGTTTCTATGGTCCCGATAACAGCTCCAGTCTGTGTGACCACCGGTTCCGGCCACCAATGACCCGTTCATGCTCCAAGCCCTGTCCAGGGGAGTGTGCGGTCAGCGATTGGTCAGAGTGGGCACCTTGTCCTCAGGTAGGCAGGTTCAGTGTTTATCAGCGCAAAATTTGTGACGTCACAGCAAATATCCGTTATGCTACTACAGCGCGTCCGCAACATTTTTTGGCGAGGCTCTAGCGTCGTTGCGGAAAAATATACGCCATTATTTTTAAGTCATTTTAAAGCTTGGAAACTTAACTTTATGCCTGGTAAGTATTGGTGTGATATTCAAAATGGTTTTGAAATTATTCGTGTTCAAATAAAGGCATGTCAAAAAGAAACTCAACTGATTTCAAGGAAAATCAATCATGTGCTTTTTTTTCTAATGTGGAAATGCTTCATCATGTTCATGATGTGACGATCTCGTTGCCTTTTACTTTCTATGTTTCCTTTTCTTTTCGATCCACGTAGATTACACCTTAAATAAATTCACAATATTTTTCTTCATTTCAAGTTCTATGTGTTGTTAATATATATCAACTGTTTTGTTTTGTTTTGTTATTTCAACAGCTTGTTGACTCGAGTTTGCATCTGTTGTACCACATTATCGATTTTCTTTCAAATCGGTTGCGTTTGTTTTCCACATGCCTTTATTTGAACACGAATAATATTAAAACTCTTTTAAATATCCAACCAATACTCGCCAGGGATAAAGTTAAGATTCCAAGCTTTAAAATGGTATAAAAAATAATGGCGGTACGTGTTTCCACGCTGATGCTAGAGCCTTGCAAAAAAAAGTTGCGGGTATTTTGGGACACGCTGCACTGAACACATTTCAACTCCAGCAAATCTCAACGTTTTGTGCGGTCAAATTCACTTCACGTTTCCATTGCGTGACATGTGTGCTAGACTTGTTACAAGCAATTCGCAATAAACTGAAAAGCTGGCAAGGACATTGCCAATCCTTGTTAACCTGTAGTGTATAATGGCTAAAAGTTGGCGGTGTGGACTTTTAGTTCGAACATTTTTTCTAAGACCAATGATGATTTTTAATAACAAGACACCTGGATGTATTTGTGTTTGTGTTGAACCACAATGAATGATGGATGATTATCTGCCAAACATTAATGCTGGAAGTTCAACAGTAAAGTTGAAAACTGTCTTCTGTTTGGCAAACGTTTGGTGTCGCACTCATTTCAGCTTGCAAGCAGCACTTCTGGCCCACTAATCTGACAATTTGTTGCACTTTGTCTCAGGATTGCGAGAACGTCAGCTTCCACACCCGCACCCGCGTCGTTCTCCGCCGTCCCACTTCGTCAACCGAGGGCAGCATAACCTGCCCGCCACTGACGCAGGTGGAGCCTTGCAACATGGGGGACAGCTGCGTGACGTACCGCTGGAACGCCACGGACTGGGGCTCTTGCGTCATGGAGCCCAGAGGGGCATGTGGGACAGGCAAAAAGATCCGCTTGCTCCAGTGTCTACAGAGTAACGGCTTGGAGGTGGAGAATTCCATCTGTGACAAGGTTGGCCACAATTTGGTTTTTAATTTTAAAAGTAATGATAAAATAATAATAATCACGTTGTGCTTATAACACGCTTTATATACCTAAGGTTGCCAAGCGCTTTACAGTATCACCGTTCATCAGGAATGAGAACATTTTCCTGCGGCAGCTTGAGATCAGCGCAATTTGGTCTCTACCTTCACATGTACCCATTTATACTCCAGGGTGGAGAGAGGCAATTGTAGTAAAGTGTCTTGCCCAAGAACACAAGCACCATGTTCCCCATCAGGGTTTGAACCCACATACCAGAGCACATGAGTGGAACACTGTAACCATTGGACCACAGCGCCCCACAGATTATGGACAATGTGATCTTGAAATATAACAATCACTTGTACTGGGAGGACTGTGGAACAACTGAGAAAAATTAAACCTCATCCGAAAAAAAAATCCAGTGTGTTCACTTCCAATAAAAGTGTCTCTCTGTTTTGAGCGTAGTAGAAATAGATCTATGGAAATAGACCTTCACACACAAAAAGTCCAAAGTAAAAAAAAATTGCAAACCTGATAAGCAACCTTGATTGGGGATAGCAACTGTATATTGACTACACAATGTTACCAACACCTGCCCTTCCTCAGGTCAAATATTAAATGTGTCACATATGTCTTACTGAGATGGGCAATATTTCCTGGAGTTTCTTAGTGCAGTATGTTGCTTGCTGAGCAAATCTATATGGGTCATTATATAAATCTGGGGCCCACTTTTCCTTCCTGTCCAGTAGCATATCTTGAGGGGGGGGCACCCCCTGGCAGATTTTTTTGAATTTTGTTTCAGCAAGTATTTCCATAAATGGTTAGAGAGTTCTAAAATCAACCCAAAAAAAGAAAACCAGCCCAAAAACCAGTACAATGCGCCGTTAAAATTGGCATATATTTTCCAGTACCGGTATGCATAATAATGGAATAATAATGGAGCACCCCCATTTGGAATATAGGAAGTTTCAGCTCGGTGGATGTTACACTTTTTGAGAAGACAGTGAAAAACCGTACACAACATTTTTATCGCTAAACGCAATTTCCTCAAAAGAACTCTTTATTTGCGACGAATTGACTGATCGTTGGAAACCACCTACATTTCTTGATTTCTTCTTATGACAGCAAGCCAGACAGAATAAATGTACGGGGTGTTCACCAGTTCGCGTCGGAGGCCGTGTTCACATGTACTGGCTGTTTTTATACACAGACACGGCTGACTGGATAAAACGTCAAGCGTGCCTCGACTTGCCTCCGGGTGACGTCTAAACACGCTAATCCCTCGTGTCTTTTGTACACACACGCAAAGTCCGCGAAGTCTGTGGAGGCAGACCATGTGTTGATCTTGAATTGGCCGCTGTGCACAGCCTATTGTTCTACAATTTACACTCCATTGCACACCCCAGAGTGTTGAAAAATATGAGGTTTCGGCAAGAAATATCTCACAAATAGTGTTGAAATGTTGCATTTTTCAAAAATCGTACAATCTTTAATCCAAGTAATCTTTTTAATAATAATTTGCATGGTTACTTTTGGGATAAATGCAAAATGATCCTATATGCCTGTAATTGTTTTTCTTCACTGTGCACAAAACTTTGCTAAGTAATGTTCTCTCCTCAGCAGCGCAGTGCAATTGGGCTGGTATGATTAGTGATAATAAGCAAATGTTTGCGCTTAACAGTTCTTTACATTTTCTTTACAGCTGGACCTACCCAAGCCAGAGACTCTGGAGGCATCTTGTCACGTGGAGTGCCCTGGGGATTGCATCTTGAGCCCCTGGACAGAGTGGGGCAAATGCACCCAGGCCTGTGGACACAGCGGTAAGTATTATCATACCACACAGCAATTTTATTCCATTACACAATACCCCAATACAGCAAGCCATAGTTCTTGAATGTTTATTACATAGTTCTTACATAGTTCTTTACATGTACATGTTTATGTTTAAAAACAATTCCAGAGAATAATTCCTGCAGCTTGTAGAATACAAGTTAAGAATCCATGTGAAGTTTGTGGTATTATACAAATAATGAATGTTCATGAGTGTAATGGTAGGAATGATTTCATGAGGTGACAGATGTTCCATGGAATGGTATGGTATACAAATAATAAGGGAATAAATGTGTGCTCCGGGGTTTTTTATCATTCATAACTACCTTTTCGGTAAAAAAAAATCATATAATTCGTTCAAAACATCCCGATTTTGTTCAACAAATTCACTTTATGCTTTTTGAAACATCCCTCTTGCAAAATAATGGAGTGTTCAGCTGGCGAGTAAGATGTAAACAACCCTTTTATGGAGATTGACGCGCGCGTTTCATGTTCTGCGCGATGTCGTGCAGAACGCACCTGGTTCGTTGCGTTTTGAATTTAGAACTATAAAATTCTGACTCCCTAGTAGTGTTGCGCATGCCTACGTGAGGATTGTGAACGTTCAACCAATGAAACGATAAGAGGCACTGGATTTTTAGGAGTCCACATTTTATTGTGACACTGGAAAAGTGTTTAAGACCAGCTAGCCATGTCTTTATCATCCTTTTAAGACCGGCTACGTGACGGGCTCTCGACCAATAGGAATGCGTAAACTGTCTTAGGTATTTATGAATGAATGTTTATGAGTACAATAGTGAGAATATTTTTATGAGTTGAAAGATTGGATGTTCCATTCAAAGAGGCGAAGCCGAATTGAATGGAACATTCCATCTTTCAACGAATGAAAATATTCTCACCATTGCACGAATGCAAAACATTCATTATTTGTTTTATATTCCATCCAAGTACATGTAGATCTTTGTCATTCAATTGGAGGATAAAACTTTAATAACAAACAAAACTCACAAAATTGTATCATATCAACTACTTTTTTTCAGCTTGTTCAAGGCTAACAAAGGTTTAAAAGTCAAATCATTGACATTAATGAAAAATAACATTGAAAATTCTTAAAACAATGCAAAAAATCATCAAGAAAACTGCATCAACTTCAAAGGCAAGTTTTGCAGAGTTTTAATGCATGATATTCAAAATAGCGCAAAGATCGTATAGCGCTGGGCAGCTGCGCGTCTTAGAGGGCACACGGCATGCAATAGATCAAAAGGGATGGGACGAAAATGCATGGTGAATGGAACCAAAAATGCACGGTTATGACGTTGGCCGTGCAATGATTAATGAATTATTTGAAATAATGAATTGTGCGATTAATGAATGCCGCGTGACCTACAATCCTCCAATCAAACGACAAGGATTTACTTGGGTGTTATATAAAACATGTATCTCTGTATCTCTATCTTGTAATGACACTTCTTATACTCAGATGGCACAGAGACACATTGTGACTCACATGTTCATAAAGAACTTGGTTAAATCATGGTAAAGTTTTGTGGATTGGCTTGCAACGACAGTTCCCAAAATATTACATTTTTATAACTACCACTCAAATTATGATCTGTCACAGCACGCAGTAGCTCTAGATAGAGTCTTCAAGTCAAATACATAGTGATGTTTTTAATCACACCTCACAGCAATAAAATCCACATTTGTCACACAATCCAATCAATTTGTGTTGATCTTTCTCTAGTTGGTCGGACACGGAGTCGCACCGTCCTGAGATCAGCTAATTCATTAGGTCGTCCCTGTGCTTCATCTCTGTACCAGTGGCGGCCGTGCAAGCCCAGCCCATGCTACCGATGGGTGACAGGACCCTGGGGACATTGTCTACCTAGGGTGAGTAGCTTTTGATTTATGCATCTCATACATATTTATGAACCAAGCCTGCTTCTTTCATTGGTCGATGGTATTATGCATCAGTGGGTAAAAATAGCTTTCCTGCAGCCAATTTCATGAAACTTTACAAATTGGCGTAACCCTACTTGTGCTAAAATTCATTGCATAAGTTGCCCAACATTTCAGTTGTGACACATTCCACGAAAGTTCCACAGTTTGGAAGTCTGCAACTTGCGCAACAAATTATAACTTATTCAGCCATGTAAGGTGGTGTAAGTTTTGACGCAGCAACTGAAAAGGGACTAATTTACTGACTTTTCATGATTGTCGTGGAGCTTGTCATTGCTCAACTTAAAGTTGATACATGAAACTCACAGCTTTGCTTTCAAAGTAAATGAACTCCTATTTTACCTGTGACAGAATTTTGAGAGTTGTTGCACAATACTGAAGAAAGTGGGACAAAAGTCTTATTTAAAATGTTTTGTGACCAAACAGAAAATCCTACACAAACAGCCATCAAAAGTTGCAATTATCCTCCTCTAAGTTGATTAAATTATTTAAAAGAGTACGAGTACTTTGCTGCCCGAGTACGAGTACCGTCATTTCAAGTACAAGTACTTTGACATTCGAGTATGAGCATGAGCACTCTAAAAAAAAGTATACGAGTACCGTGTACGAATACTACAACACTGATTGAAGTGCTTCAAAGGTTTTGTAAAATTAAATAGGTTTGCAAACATTGTTAATTATTTGTGAATGTTTAACCCAAAGGAAGACTGCATGAACAGTGAACGTAGGTCTCTTTTTTTGTAATTCGAGTTCCGTTTAAACGTTTTTGGAAAATGGTAAACGGATTTGTTTTCGTTTAAAGGTTTAAACGTGAAAACGTCACATCTTTAAAACAAATGAGCAGTAATATGTGTAGGGTACAGGTTATTAATTAGATTCATGGCAGTATGCATTGAGTTACCTACATATCCAGCATAGTTCTCCCCCTGCCATCTCTTTCCAGAATAAAGGCCAGATCAGTTAGCTAGTACGTCACAAGACAGTGTTGGAGTCGTTTCACTGGCTAGTTCCTGTACCCCCCTCACCGAACCCCTAGTAACCGCCTCCTACATAGGCATTCCCACAGAATTGTTTTCCTCTGTGATAATGAAAGTAAATTTGTCGGAGGTGAAATGAAACAAATACAACCTGGTTTGAGTCAGAAGTAGTGCAAAATGACTGGTCCCTTTGGTTTTGGCTGGTTTGACAACTTCTGTCTGCTTTGCACTGGAAGGCACCGGTAGTCAAATCATAGTATTTGTATAGTATTAAAATGACAAAAAAAATTATAGTAAAAAAAATTCCTTGCTGTCCTGGTTCAATTATTTTGAATACATGTATTCAAAATCATACTGATAACCATATTTTTTTTTTTTTTTTAATTCTGAGTAGTTTTGAATTTGTGATTTCTAATCACACAGGCAAGTTCCATGATAACACTGTCTTTAACTAATTCCTTAAGATTTTTTTTCTTGATTGAGGAGATATATTTTCCTTTTTGCAACTTTCTCATTCTGTCAAGCACTGTGACCTTTTCTCATGCCCTGCGGTATATCTTCACTGAGTACTTATCAGCCACCACCAGCTCATCATCTTTGGTGAAGGTTAACCCCAAGGGGTTGTCCAGTCCCCTTACCACGCACCCAATAGCCACACCGTCTGGGTCAAATTGGTGAATTTCACAGCGACCGGCGCTGTCGGTGTGCATGGCCACGTAGATGTATCCAGCCTTGTCGCAGCAAACTCCAGTCGGCAACTTGTCGTCGGTATCCACACAGAACACCAACTGACCATTGAAGTCCCTTGAGAGCACTTTCCTAGCTTCGTAGTTGCTGTAGACCAGTCGTTGCTGTTGACTGATTGTCAGCTGGGTGTCAATCATCGGAGCGGGTACTACCTGGATCAGACTGCCATCTTGCCTGTGAAGGGAGATGATCTCTTTCCCGCGATGTCCCACGGCGATCCTATTCTGCCTATCCACCGCCAGGCAGGACAAGATACTCCCAAAGGAATTCCTGACTGGATACTCTGGGAAAGAGGTCGGAACTTGTAAGAGAAACCCCATTTGTCTATCAAGCACCTTGACTCTGGAGTTGTCTAAAACGACCAGCTCGTCATGGGTGTTGATTGCTATGGCATAAGGTCTGATCAGTGCTTTCTTACTGAGCTCATTAAGTCTCTTCATATGGCTAATATGATGTCCACATTTAACCACGGTCAGCGTCCAAGATTCCATGTCAGTAGCTGCTACGTCACCATTAGAATACACGGCCACAAAGCCAACTTGTCGAAAACCCTTGCCGGGTTGTCGTCCAAAGTCGATAATTTTCTTCCATTTTTCCTTTGTCAGGAGTGTGCCGAGGTTGATATCGGCTGTAGGGTTTGGCAGATGGCCTTTGAAGTCCAGGAAAGACAGATTGTGGGATTGGGTGATCACCTTCTTGACAGTCGTGATGTGCTCAAAGAGATCTTGCTTCATTTTGAGAATCTCCAGGCTGGTTGCCTTGGTCAGTGCATGCTTGATCCTACCTTCTATGTGACTGGCTCTCTGTGCTTGATCACAGTGGCTCTTGTATATTGCTTCTATCTCCCTGGCATTCTGTTTACCCAATTCAATGGCCTCTTTTCGCAGCTGCTCACCATGGGCTCTCACTCTAGCAACCTCCCGTTCCTCCACCTGTAGAATCTTGTTCTTGCTGGCTTGGATATTCATGTGGAGTCTGCAGTAGGCATTCCTGGCTGAGCTGGCTGCCTGTGTGAATTCCTTGCAGTCTTGTTGGATCATGGGTAGCATTGTGTCAAGGTGTCTTCTGCACACGGTAACAGCCGACGTCGCATCCACATACGAGTGGCTTGATGCATGGTGGTTGGATAACGTACAGTCCTTGCAAATCATCACCTGGCAGGTTTTGCAGAAGAGCTTGAGATCCTTGCGTGGGTGTTTTGAGCATGTCTTGGCATCACAGACTGCTGCTTCCTGGGGAGTTGTTCGACCTGACCGACCATCACCATTATCACTGGAGGGATCTCGGTCATAAACTCTCAACTTCTGATAGTCGGTAGTGACTTGTTGAATTGTCGTGACCTCATCCACAGAGGCCTTCATCTTATGACCAGTCAGACATTCCTCCAGCTTTTCCACATCCTCTAGTAGAGCCTGGACCTGGGTACTATCTCTGACTCCTGTAAGCTCATTCACCTGCGACAGCTCAGTGACTTCTTCACAGATGGGACAAATAATCTCTCTTCTCCAAGGACCTGGGCACTTATCCAGCCTACTTCGCAGACAGGTTGTGCAGAAGCTGTGCAGGCAGCTGAGTGTTTTAGGTGCTCTGTACCGCTGGTTGCACAAATTGCAAGTCAGATGGTTAAGTGCTATGTCTCGTAGGACAGTAGCAGCAGTCATTGCAGCGTTGGTTTCATCATCAACGGGTGAAATGTTAGCATATGCCTGAAAGTAGATAATATTACAGAATTCATAGTCTTTAAAGGGTTCATGTGATTTTTCGTGGGAACACATTTTGTGCAACTCTCTACTCCTCTTATTATGTACAAGCTGATTTACCCGATCATAGATCGGGTAGGGCGTAGTGTTGGGGATGAAAATGTGGGGAGTTAAATGTAAATGGGGGATATAGTTGGGGCATGGTTGGGGAGACATGCAGTTATCATGGTTATAGAAAAGAAATATCTGTGGTGTGATCTGAGGCAATTTCTGACCACTAAAACCAATTTGAGCAAAAGATCATCTTTTAAAGTTATGAGTTTGGGGCAGTCGCATTTGGAAAACGTAGAGAGGTTACTGTAGTACACAGGCGAAGGCTGATTGTACAGTTTTGACAATAAATCACAATGCAATAAAACGTGAAGGTGTCATTTGAAATGAAAATGTTGAGTGTTACCATAAAATTACAAACGGTCTGAATCATGGAGGAAGGGCATAATTAAGTTTCAGTATTGGACTCTTCAACAAACATAAACTGGAACTCCTTACAATTTGCGAGAACCGTCTGCGAGGAAAAAGTCGATTCAACTTTTATTCAAGTTGGTTCAACCATCTATAGCAAGTTTTACTCGGCCTCCGAGAAATGTTTGCTCAGTCCTGAAAGGATCCGGTGAGACCGCGGTCTCCCACCGGCGCCAAAATGGCTCCACGTCCGTGGAAAAATGTGGAAGGTGTCTTCCGCCGGGTCGGACACTTTTTCGTCGATGTTTTTGTGACTGCGATTAAGATCGCGATATTTGAAGCATGCCAAACAGGCCCCCGAAATTATAACCCGACACTGAATTATACGTGGCGGGCAGCGAACTCACAAAGCTCAGCCTTGGTGGAAGCATGGAGCTGTATGAACATGTACACACGATGGAAGCGACAGAGCACTCTCGTCACATGCTTGTGCTTCAAATAGCGAGCACCGTAGACTCAACCTCGTTTCCAGGGTGTGGAGCAGGCTGCAGTACGCGTTGCCATCGACGGTTTTACGCATAGCCCGGAAATACTACGCAGTGTAGACTTTCGATTGGTCAGATCGCGCAAGGCATACTAATGTGTAGGTCAGACCGCGCAAGGCATACTAATGTGAAGTCATTCTGAGTATTCGTTGCACTCAGCGCAGGGGCGGCAAGCAAAGCATATGAAAGAATAGGGACACTTGGTGGCCACGCACCATGGACAAACAATATTTTGCCAAGGTCACCCCATACAACCGTTTGGTGAACGCTTTTGCAGAACAGCCGAGTACAACACGTAAACGGAACCCCTACGTTGACCTCGCTGACCTCGCACAGTCTAGACTCACAGAAAAGCCAGCACAGGGGGTGGCCAGGCAGTCAACGTGAAAGCGCACACGACGGCAAATTCCTGCGCAAAACGCAGTCACGAAAAATCGACGAAACGGATCGCCGGTCCGTACAGGAAAATCAGGACGACCCGAAGCGTCCGACCCGGCGGAAGACACCCTCCGCATTTTTCCACAGACGTGGAGCGATTTTGGCGCCGCGGGAACCCGCGGTCTCGGATCCTTTCATGAGCAAACATCGTCTCGGAGGCCGAGTTAAACTCTCTCTTATATATATAGATAAAAACTATTTGACATCCCTTTTTTGTTTAATTGTATTGAAAAGTGTACTCCTTACTAAAAAAATCCTTAAAACATCTATAATTTTCCACGCTTTTCCGGACAACTGAGGGCGCTGTTGATGTGATGCAAGTCATTTCAGGACGACACTTTTCGGTTTAGGGGTTTTCTGTTCAAATGGTGAACCCAAAAATGTGCTCATTGAAAAAGTTTGTTTGAAAAGTTTGCTTATTGGCTTACTGCCATGTACTGACACAACAAGGCACCTAAGAAAAGAAAATTACAAAATATCCAAGACTCTGGCCGACTTCTGGTGCTGAAATAGCTGTAACATTGAGGTTTCTGCCTGAAATGACATCACACTTTTGCTCATGAATATGGAAATTTGCACTCGCATAAAAAAAACCAAAAGGAACCAAAATACCCTTGAAAATTTCAAAGCGAAAATTGCAAATAAGGTTAAATGGGACACAAAGGTGCATTTTTGGTCTCCCCTGAACTTTGTTCAGGAAAGAGACTATGCAATCACTTTGTCTTTCGTATGTATGTATGTATGTATGTACAGTATGTACAACATGTATGTGGTATTTTGGTTAAAGTTTCGTAAAATTGGTCTCATTTCAAAAGTTGAAGTCCCATTGGAACCAAAGTTGGGTCATAGATGCAACATGGGCAAGTTCAAATGATAATGATGTCAAAGGTCAAGCACCAAGGTCAAAGGTCACTCTTTACAGATAATCGCAAAAGCAGGCGAGACACATGGTTCGAGAACCATCTTGGTAACTCTTTCAGTGCCAAACTCGTACATGTACGAGGTATATTTGTTAGTACAAAAGCGCCAACCTCGTACATGTACGAGGTAATGCTCGTGATTAAAATCACCAAACCTCGTACATGTACGAGGTAGAGTACATGTTATCAAAAGGGGGCGCTCTTGCTCTTTCTAATGGTACCATTTTCATGCATGTACGACCTGTATTTATTTTTTTATTCGAGTTCTTGCGAGAGGGCGTAACACTGACAGCCCGTCTCTGAGTTTCAACTTAACAAAATGGCGGCGCCCAGAAAACGAGCTCGCATGTTATCTCCAGAGGAAATCAATGAAATTTTTGCCGATTCGGACAGCGAAAGGGAATACTTTTCTGATTCAGAATCATCTATGGATATTTCAGAACAGGATGGTGAGTCAGAAGACGAAAATGGGGATACCGATACAAATGATAATGATGGTGCTTACGTTAGTGTCAGTAGTGACAATCATGACGATATTGATGCTAATGAACAGAGTTTGTATGAGGAGGAGTATCAGACGCAACACACGTATATTCTACAAAAAGTGCGGAATTCCCCTGTGTTCAGGAGAGTGTTTCAGGGTATATCACTAGGTGCGTGACTACTATTGACTTTTGAAGGTAACAAGAATATACCAGAGAGCAAGATACAACAAGTTTGGTGATTACAACTTATTGACTTTTTTTTTTACAGAATTTTGAATAATTAGAAAAAAAGCTTGAAGTTTGGCACTTTACCTTTTGAAATGTCGCGGGCACTGAAAGAGTTAAGAATCGCTTTAAAAAAATGACATTGCATGGGCCCTTTAAATGTATCATTATTATCCCCTGTCCTCCTACAAATATAAAAAGCTCATTGTCTTTTAACCCCATTTCTCACCACCAAACTAAGAAAACACTTTATGGGAACATCAACCCTGTTTTAAGGGGGGAAAATGCAAACTCGCTTTACCATTCCTGAATCTCTACCCACTTGTCAAATCAAAAACAAGTTACTTGGGTTATCAATGTCGACTGATAATGTTATTTATAATAGAGAGCTCAATTTTTTCAATGAAGCATCCTTAGTTTGGTTTCCAGGAGGAACTTACATTGCTCCAGCCACGTGCTCCTTCCAGATCTCCGAGCTTCCTTGGAAACATCGTTACGTATTTACTTTCATTTTTCCTATCACTTTCTTTGGTCATTGGTTCGGAATCATGAGTCTGTCCGTCAGGATGCTGCTGAGAGGGAAGGGAAGAAGGCTGATTGTCGGGGCCTAGAAAAGAAGCTGCATGTTGATGCAAGTCCGATTGATAATCGGGCGAGGAGACCATTCGCTTTCTTTGTGAATTGCGGATTGGACGTTGCAAATTAACCACACAGTCATCATCAAATTTCAGTGTTTCCACTGGAGATGTAGATTCCTCAGGAGCCTCTTCTGTTTCTCTCTGTTCGTTGCTGTCCTTGTTGCGTTTCTTTCGGCTGTTGCGCATGTAAAACACGGGCGACGAGAGTCGCCCCTCAGGATTCACCGACTCCGTCAGACTGTTGCTCCGTCTGAGACGGCGGTTAATTATTGGAGACTCCATGTCTCTTGACAATGTTGTAGAATTCACAGACAAGTTACCACACTCACAATTGATGCAGTTTCCTCCACGGGCTCCCGTGTATGAAGGGATCTAGCTAGTACCCAGAATTGCCAGGATAGTAAGTCTCTAACACTAAAGACACTTGCGTACATTAGATACAGGTTAGGAGATCAATGCATTTCCATCTATTAGGCAGTTGAGTTCACATACATTCTACATAATGCAATTTGCCGCATTGCTTTGTTGTCAGTGTTGCCACATAACTGGGCACACTCCAGTGGTCAACTGCTCTATGTCCTCGGCCGGTTCTGTTTGTAGCCAGATTCACGGTTGTTCAAAAGTACGTCCAAGTTTCAACACAAGTCAAGGCGGAGCAACACAGCATTCGGAATTGTGTAGTACCGGTATATTGCCATTATCCCCATTCAAGAGGCATGATCCAGTCAGTGTAAAATCCTCACAAATGTCCGCGGATACACAACAATATTGGATATGCAGTGATTTTTTTTTTAACCAACTTCCCTGACTTTGCTCAATTTGGATCAGAAGGTTGAGTTGTGTTTCTTTTGTACCTCTCCTCGTTATTGTCTTGGTTGGCTGACTTAACTGTATAGGAATGAATGAATGAATCCAGTAGTGTGGTTTTCCCCATATTTATGTACGTTAATAATAGATGGTGTATGTTATGGTCATATGTGCTTGGAGCTTATTTTTTTATATCTCAGTTTCCGGGTACAAGGTCTGCAGTTTGTGTGCATTTCGTACTTGATCCCTGTGTATTGATAAATCAATGTTATTGAAATTGAAGGTTAATAAATAAGATTACAATCTATGAAACGAAAGCTAGCATGATTTGTGCTTTAACTGTTGCTTTGTTTGGGATTGTTTTTCTAAATCCCTCTTCCTGATTTTTATGTTGTTTTATTTACACATGATGGGCTATAGCCTATGCTTCCTTTTCCTTATTCAAGCCAGAAGTTGGCACACGTATGTGTGTTTGTTAGAATATGTTCCTTATACAACATTTGCTTTTGCTGTAATTTTCAGAAATGGATGGATTTAGGGTTGGTATTTTATAACAAATATTGTTACACTGACCTGTTTAAAATTTAGTGTTCAGGAATGATGAAAAAACCAAGAACAAAATGTTGCTCTTGTAGTCTGCTTCCCTGATCCTATTTTAGATGAAACAAAGCAATTTATCAACGTTAGGGAATTGTTAGGTCAGGGAGCCAGACTAGCTGTATGTAACCAATTGCTTACAAAATGTAGACAAACTAAATTGGGTAAATTGGGGACAGTATTTTAAAAAAAAAAAACTCAGTTTTTCCAACGATGGTTGGCCGACCGTCATTGGAAATTGCTACAAAACTTCCACTTTACTTGAAAATGACAGAACACTAGGTGCCGTGATTTCACAACATGTTTGAGACTATTGTTCACTCTTATTATACACTAAATTAAGGTATTTCACAATAATTTTGGTAGTTTTGCTTTATTCATGTTTGCAAATGTTGTGTTTTGCCTTTAAACTAGCTTCCTTATACTGCACCATATTTTACAGTCCTTAGTGATGTACTCAAATTTAGAACTAGTGTTTGTTCAACTGGGAAATGTGATGGCACTTTGAAACTGATCATTGAAATCTAAATTGACAAACTTCTGTGGTTAACCAAAAAACGTCACAGGTTTATTTATCACTTGCATCATTAAAGATGCATTCCTGTCCTATTTTGGAGTTTCATTCCGAAAAAGAGATTTCTTCTCTTCATTGCTATTTTTCTGGCAAAACGAAAGTTATTCACTTTTGGATCAGACATCGCCTGAAAAAATGTTTATTTATTGAATTATTACTTTACAATTGTGAATTATTGGCTGCCAGACAATAAATCTGGTCTCGTGGGAAAGGCTGGTTCCCACTCCACAATTAGTATTGATAATGTATATGGACCAGGGAGCCAGTCTGCCCACAAAGCGGATCTGTTTGTGCCCAAAACAAAAAGTTCTTTTGCGGAGGGTAGCAGCGGTCAATAAAAGAGGGAAAAGGAGGATTTTTGGTTGGAATCAAGCATACAAGTTGTAAATTTATGAAAAGGAAAAAGTCTAAGTTTTTGATGAGAACATGGACTGCAATTTTAATATTAGATTATTTGATTCCATGCATGAAATCATGCGATGCTAAAAATTGTGCAAATAGGCAATTCCAGCATTACGAAAGGAAGTCTGTGACAGAGCCAATTAACCATGATATCTAATTAACGATTCAGAGAAATGATCCAAAACTCCTAGTCTGTAATCTCCTTGACCATTTACTAGATGACAGATGTATACAAAATTAAAAAAATAATTTTCAGATTTATTCACTGAGTCTTAACCATCGGAGGACGTGATAACACACACTGGCTGTTTTTATACACAGGCACAGCTGACGTGTGAAGATGTCAAGATTGCCTTAACTGGCCTCCAGAAGATATCTAAAATGCTAATCCCTTGTGCCTTTTGTACACACACATGATGTCTGTGAAGTGTATGGCGGCGGACCATATTTCTTGAATTGGCTGTTGTGCACGGCCTATTGTTGTATACAATTCATGCTCCAGTGCAAACCGCAAAATATTGAAACATATTAGGTTTCGGCAAGAAATATTGTACTCTTGCGAATCCGTATTTGTGGTATTTGGCTGTATATCAGAATTGGCCGGAAGGTCTTGCCTTTTGCGAAAATTGAAATTTTAGGCAAAAATAAAAGTAGTGGTTAAAAGCTCGGTCCCAGACATATTGCCGGAAATGCTCAGTTGTATTTCAAGAGACAGACACAAGCATTGAATACCATTTGTGTTTGTTCATGTTGTGGGGTTTGTTTTGATTGGTCGCAGGGTGGTGACTGTGGCATTGGATGGCGACAGCGTAACGTCACATGCCAACAGGAGGACGGTGTCCTAGTCAGTGAGGAACTGTGCCAGACTGGCATTTATCAGAGCAACATCAATGTCACAGAACTGGGACGAGAACGGCTAGAGGTAAGATTGCCTTCATTGTCACACAAAACCTTGATTGGTTTCACACTTTTTGTCTGTTTTTATGTTACATTGGTGGCTTTGTTACAAGATTAGAAATTATTGCGTGTATTTCCTTGTATTAGCAATAATTGCCTGGTATTTCCTTTTAAACTAAGAGGTATGTAGCTCAAGGAAACCATTCTGTAAATTTGGGGTTCCCCCCAAAAAAACTTGATTTGTTTCACCTTTTTCCCCTGCTTTTCTGTTATGTTGGTGACTTTGTAGACCATTCTATACATTGGTTTATATAAATAGGTTTGAGCTTTTTTCCACAGCTTTTCTGTTGCGTTGGTGGCTTTGTTCAAGGTACCAACTTTTACGACAACGTGCTGGTAATGCTGGACAATGCAGGCAGAACCAAATTTTTTTCGGGGGGGGGTGTTTTTTGTGTTCCCGAATAACCAAAAATTCTGCCCAAATTTTAATATAAAAGCTGGAAGGGTTCCAATGTATGCTTTTGTTGAGTTTTGTGGGTGGTGTACTCATTGTAAATCAAGAATAAAACTTGTTCGGCCCGACCCACAAAGCCTGGAGTGCCGATAACGTCATTATAACAGCGATTATAACAGCAATATCCGACTGGTGCGATTTGAACAACAGAGGACACAATTAAGTCGCATTTGATTGTTCACAGTGGGAATTTAGTCATTAGCATGAAAAATGACCCCACAACTTTTATTGAAAAAGGGACCGTTTAACTTTAAAAATGGTGGAATTGTGAAAAAAAATAGCCGAGGATCTACTCCCTGGTTTTTGGGCTTCCATCTGAGGGCAGTATGGATAAAAATAAGGTTGGTATCTAGAAATGTCTATACAAAACCCCCATACACCGGGGGTTTGTCTAGAAAATATCAGACGGTTATTTATTACTCCCCATCACACTCAATTAAATTCAGCAGTGGCCGCAAGCCCCATTTTAAAGAAAAAGTTAAGTCAGGATCAAGGTACCAACTTTTACGACAACCTGCTAGTAATGGCTTAAAGCTACAGTCCATCATTTGCAGCTATAAAAAAAAGTAACTAGCGTAATTATTCTATTCAGCTTGCTGAAGAATTCAAGAAATGCAGGTGATTTCCAATGATCAATTGACAGTTTGGAAATAAAGGATGCTGTGGACAAAATCACCTTTCGCGATAAAAAAAAAGGTTGTTCATGGTTTTTCAACTGTTTTCAAACTGAGCTGAAACTTCAACAAGTTAGGTTTTGACATCTTCTTTGGATTTTGTGTGGTGTTATTACATTTGACAGGAAACAAAATTTATAAATATCAAATGATCCTATATGTCTTTATTACTTATAGTCTCCATCAAACGGGTGGAGGCTTAGCAGAAAAGTATTTGCTTAACAGTGACAAGAAATAGGCTGTGAAAAAATTAATAGCAGGACACAACTATAATGAACACTGTCATATCGAACATTCTTCCATGACATACATCCTGTGTCTCAAATTGTATGTAAAATTGTATCGAGCATTCCTGCTGAAATCACTGCGATGAAAGACTGCTTTACAGGGCTGTAGTCAAGTCCACCCTGACCGGAGACCGAGATCTTGACCGTCGGTCTCGCCTAAAGCTCTGCTGCTGTACCACTCAAACTTGTATGGTTCTCATTGTGTTCCTGTTTTTGTTTTTCTCTGTGTAGAGAGAGCAGCCGTGCAACATCCCTTGCCCCAGTGAATGTCAGCACACACAGTGGAATACCTGGAGTGATTGCTATGTGTCCTGTCTTCAAGGAAGAACAGTAGGTAAGGAAAACAGGGCTTCAAATGTAATGACAGTTCGTTAAAGATATACTGATTCACTAAAAATTTGAATGCATTTTTTTTCTAGCAATGTACAATGTTACTCACTTTTTAATGAGACATTAAGCAAACAAAAGTCGGTCATATTCCACAACTTTTGCGTTATTTGCGGCTCGATATTGATTCAGTTTTCCCAGCGTAGACTGGTTCCCGCCCCCGGCACAACTATAGAATACAGGGCCACTCCATTCTATATCCGCGCATCCATGGCTGCGTGGATGCGCAGTCGGTTTACTATAGTGCCCTCTATTGATTAAAATTTACTTCATGCCCACCCCGCATCCGCGCATCCACGCATCCAAGACGGAATGAGTGGGTAGGTTGGGGTTGGTTTTAGATAGGGAAATAAAGTAGTGGGTCCTATAGGGTAAATACAGTAGAGGGTCCTGGGGTAAATAAAGCGCCCTCTATTGATGACTTCATGCTCATCCACCCCGCATCCACGCATCCAAGACATCCCAAGCCGTCTCACTCGGTATATATACTACGTACTTCTACTTGTCAAAAATGCACTCTCTATAGCACCCTCTATTTTTTGCTACATATACGTTCATACCGTACACCCGACCCGCATACGCATAGGAGAAGTCTCATATATCAAAGTTGCTTCATTCTCAAAACTAAGACAAAAGAGTGCCATTCTACTCGAAGACCCCACTCCTCACTTCGCATCCAACTACAAAAAAAACCTTTTCCAGCGTGGCCCTGCATTCTATAGTTGCTCCCCGCCCCCTATCAGAATTGATATAATGTTCAATGTTGGGACCAGGAACCAGTTTGTCCCAGAGGGAAGATCTGTTGGTTCACAAAAGCAACCAAATATAAAAGCCTTTTTATTCAGAGGGTTGTAGATGCCCCCCCCCCCCCAAAAAAAATAGTACATTGTGGTGCCAGCTGGCTGTACTAGGGCTTTAGTCACATCGAATATCAACACAAATCCTCATACTCCTTGCTCCCTGCTGTAAATTGCAGTGCACTCGGTTACCGGTGGTCAATAAAAACTGAAAACTTCAAAACTTTCACTTCTTTCGTTAAACTTCAACCCAAACTTTGCAAATGTCACTCTCTCTCTCTCCTCGAATGCTGTTGCCCGAATGTTATTTGTCAGTGGTTGTCTGGCAAGCCACATGACCGCCCGGTCGTCTGCGAGGTGAAGTGCTGAGAAGCCGCCTTGGAACTGCTGAAGAGGGCACTCCTCCACGCATATTTTCCATCGTCTCCTCAACACCGCACTTAACTTTTTGAGTGGTCGGGCACAACCCGACCACTGTCTAGAATTGTTCCGATTAATCTTTCTTTCTTTCTTTCTTTTTTTTTCCGGACAATACTTCTCCGCGGGTTTACTCCTAAACCGTTCAAGATATAAACTTGTAACTTCGAACACATATCGACCCTGATCCCAAGTAGTACATATTGTCCTGACGTCATGATGACGTCATCAGGTATCAAATTACAAGCAATTTAGTGTTTCTATTTTTTAATCATTACAAATCGATATAAAATCAACCGTGAGAGACCGGAGCTTGTTTTTAGCGGCAGTCAATAGAATAATACTGGGTCTTCAATTTACTTCATGGGTGTCAAATCATACGACCCTTACTTCCGGTCGAACCCGGAAGTGCCTTGTAATTTAAAAATGGTCAAAGATATGAACGTGCTTTCAACGATGTTAGTCTTCGGGAAGAAAGTACTTTTCGAAACTGTAACCAATGACGTCATGAAATATTAGAGCGCCCTCTAGCGGCAGGTTGAAAAATGTCCAAAATGCATTTTGAATAGATGTCTGTGGCGAAGTTTGCTGTAATCTTTTGAAAATTGGTATATATAATGACCTTCATGCAAACAACACATGTGTGAAGTTTGAAGCCGATGACGTCATCAGACCGGAAGTTACAACGAAAAGACTTTTTATTCTTCAAAAATCGCTAAAAAATCAATCGTGAGAGATATAATCTTAAATTGTCCATTAAATGATAGATTAAACATTGGCGTCAGTTGTGCCAGGCGCATGGCTTGTCAAATTGTTCACACACGTGACCCGCCGCCGAAAAAATACCCTAACGGTAGTCCGTCGCTCAAAAATTCAATGAAAGCGTAGAGCTCGGTGAGCGTGAGTACACTGCATGTACAGGACATTGTACATGTACATGCATTCAGTGCAGATCCATTATTTCATCATCGTCATGCTTGTCGGAACGGAGCCAAACACGTGGCGCGTAGTCTTGTGCTCAAGACGCTTGGTCTACTTGGAATGCTAAGATTGTGCCAGAACAATGATGGCATGATGACGTTATCAGGTGTCACGTGACAAGCAATTAAACTTTGATATTTTTTATCTTTAAAAATCTATATAAAATCAATAATGAGATCTGTCGTCTTGCTGTTGACGGCAAGTGATAGAGTAAATTAAGGTCTTTATTTTTGAGCGTGTACGTAAAATCACATGACCCTTGCTTCCGGTCGAAACCGGAAGTGGCTTATTATTGGCTTATTATTTAAAAGTGGAAATAGATATGAACTTGCGTTCAACGGTGTTAGTCTCTGGCCAGACAATATTCTTCAAAACTTGTACCGGTGACGTCATGAAATTCTCGACCGCCCTCTAGCGGCAGGTTTAAGAATGTCCAAAATGCATTTTGAATAGATGTCTGTGGCGAAGTGTTTTGTAATCGCCTGAAAACTGGTATATATAATGACCTTCATGCAAACAACACGTGTGAAGTTTGAAGTTGATGACGTCATTCACTTTTTCTAGTTAAAAAAATAATACATACTGACATTGATCACTACCTAAAAGAAACATTTTGAAACAAAATGATTAATTTTATCAGACAGTTTAAATTTCGTTATCCTTGGTACATGTTCTTACATAAAAAAATATTCATAACTTAACTGGACAGTGTTTCATAAAATAGTTGTCTACCCGACCACTCTGCGTTTGTAACAACAAACGCGAACCTCTAGTTCAGTTTAGTTTGCTTACAGAACGACTTTTGTCTTAGTATCTATCTATTGCCAAAAACGATCCAACATTTTTGTGTATTGTTCCCTGATAAACAATGCAAACAAAGGAAGTAACTTCTGCCTCGTTTGGGGATAATTAGGTAAAAAAAAAAAGAAATCTTGATGATTTTTGTTGTCATGTCTCAGGTAATGAGGGCATACAGGTGCGATCCAGAGCAGCCCTTGGGCCAGATAGTGGATGTCCCACCGACCAACTGGAGATCAGACCATGCAGTGGTAAGCAGGAACATTTCCAACAAACTCTTGGCAGCTGTGACATGTGAAATACATGATTGCCAAAGTAAAAACCGATCAATTTGATGGCTTTTTTTTTTCAATTGAAATTTTGGATTCATCTCTTGTTTCGACATCATTTTGAGCTTCAAAACTATGTTCGAATGTTGTTGCACCAAACTGACCAATACTCCAAATGTTGGCATCACAGTAGATAAATGTTGATGTTTCTGTAATAAAACATTTAGCTTCATTGAGCAAAGTGTCTCAACTATAGTGGCAAAATAAATTGCCAAACATATAATTGCAATAGGTTTGTTTGTTTGTTTATAATTTGTTTTTCTTGTGGGGGGAGTGTTTGTTTGTTTTTGTTTTTTTCTGAAGCTAGCAAAACTGAATACAAAATGTACCTTTGAGTAAGCAGGTAGAAGCCAATTTATTTTCCTACATAATTTACATATTTGCCAATGTGTGACAAAAAGCATGAACTATTCACACTGGCAGTAGCCCAGTGACCTCTGAGTGACATCACGGCTACCACAATGAATATTCATCAAACGTGAGACTGATTTTGGCTGTTGTCTTTCCGCAGGGGAGACATGCTACGAGTTTCTGTGGCAAACTGGCCCGTGGAGGAAAGGCAAGCGAGAGGTGTGGTGCCAGAGATCGGGCGGACTCAATGTCACAGGTAAGACGATTTTTAATTTCAATTAATTTTTTTCAATTTAATAACATTTATTTTCATCAAGTGCAAGGTAAAAACAAAATCACCATGCAATACAGCTACAGTGTGATATTTGAGTCCTTTTCTTTGAGTTCTGGGAAATGAAAGTGAAATAGGCCTACATTAGACGCGACCTTGGTTTGAGTCCATATTATCAAGAAAAATAAGGCTCTTGTGGCCCGGATACAGTCCGGAAACCTGTTGGATACCTGTTTTTAGAAAGCAATATTTTTCTGTGATAAGCAAATTTCAGAGTCTTGTATGATGTGATATCTCATGTGTGCAAGGCATACATGTACATGCATTTTTGTAGTCTGAGACTAATTATAGATGTAGTACATCAATGACGTTTTGCTTTCCAAAGAGTCTGCTAGTTTACAATAAAATAGGATGTGCTTGATTCCAGCATTGCCTTTTGTACATTTTTAGCCTTCTAAAAATATTGTCTTAGTTTTGTTTCTTTATTTAGCCAACTCGAACACGTTTTTTTTTCACCAGAATATGCACAGTCACTTGCATAAGGTGTTCTGGTATTTTGGCATTTTGAAGAAAAAAAATCTGTACTCTAGTCTTGATAAATTGGTCAGAATTCACAAGTGGACAAAGCCTTTCTTGTGATAGATTTGACAAATTGGTGTTTGGTAGTTCAATATGTTGTAATTCCAACCAATAATCTGTTATCGCAGGACCCTGCCTGATGGATATGAAACCCAGTACAATGGTCATCTGCGAGCCAGATTGTACAGTCATGCATTCCTTCTGCAGTGAAGACAATATGTGTCTGTGCAAGCTGGGATATGCGGCCAAGTTCAGGTAAGAGAGGGAGTGAATGCCCCCTGATCGTACCCTCTGTCTCACCGGGCAACTGTCACAGCCCTGTTACCAGAGGGTCAGGACCACAATTATTTCTCAGTCGATTAATCATTCCAGTTTGGTTTCCGTTTTGAATATTTGAATGTTTAGTGGAAGTAACAATAAACATTAGTTCTGTCACCTTTTCAAAATATTGATTTTGATTATTGAGGTTTTGGTCATGAGAACTGTAAGTTCATGCTCTTCTGCCTATTGAAAGGAAGCCATCTTTTTCAATTTCTCAAACAATGAAATGTTATCAAATAACTAACCAATTCAACTGATAATTCAGATAACTGAATAACAGTTTTCTTGACACTTGACCGAGTATTTGAGTGAAATCGATGTACAAGTTAACAGTAGCTTTTGCACTTCACCTATTTTAATAAAAGCACTGCATGCTCAGTGTTTTCTGTCATCTTGCTTCAAATTTTGTTGATTTCCAAATGTTCGGCATATTACCTGCTTTTAGTGGGAAGTACATGTACAGTTTCCATCAGTGACATTAACAAACCGTATTCTGCAAATCTAAAAAAACCAGAGGACTTCAGTGGTTTCATTTCAACTGTTTGGTGTGTGATATTTAACAATTGTTGACTGCTGTGATGTGGGATATGACATTTTTAACACCTGAGGGGCGCAAAGCACCTGAGTCGAAGTTGAGGGTCCTATGCATCCAGAGGGGGTTAAAAATAGCATATCCCATATTGTTATGTTGTGCCAATTAGTCAAAAAGATAAATGGTTGTAACTTACTGTGTGTAGGTTCCACACATGGCCAGTGAATACAGTGTGATATCACCTCAGTGTGTGACATGCATTTTTATTGTCCAGACACGTGGCCGTTCTAGACCAATGAAATTATAGTATCCAAGCACACGATATAACAAATACGTTTATGATGATCCAGATATTTTATTGTTTAATCAACATATTTGATTCCTAAAGTAATATACTGTGGTGCCTGTATTACTTCCAATGTAAATGATCTTTCAAAAAGACTTGACTACATATTTTGTAATTCACTCTGATTCTGTTTGTGTTTCTCCTGGTACCAGTGAGACTACCGGCGAGTTGATAGAATGCACAGACGAGTGGATCATGATACAGGACGGAGATGGAGAACACAGGACGCCAGACCAGACCGTTGGATCCAACCAGCCCAACCAAGCAGCCACTACGGAGAATAACACCGTGGCTAAAGGGAAGGAGGGAGACGCGGAGTCTAAGGGATTCTTTGGTAAGTAGAACGAAATCATGAAAATAAGACAAAATTGGAATGTTCTAGCAGATTTGGCCACACGTGCCACGTCCCACCTTTGGCTTGTCATTTCTCACAGTGCATGTGACCAAGCTTGACTGAGATACCATGCGTATAGTCACCTGACCAAAAGTCTTGATCTGATGAGTCAATGCAGACTGTTTGATATGAATAGCAGGAAGAATCCATTTAGAAAGAACTTGGAAAAATTCACTTGGAATTTCTTTCCCAATTTTACGATTTATGAAATTTTCCAAAGTATTGTAATGATCTAGATACAAGACTTAAAGAAGAACATGAATATCAAATTCTTCACTATTGACAAAGTTTAAAGTACAAATGCTTTTTTTTCATGTTAATTTGAAAAGTTCATAACTTCAGGATGGAAAGTCAATAACTCATTTTGAACCACCCTGCCAAGTTCTGTCACAAATTTGATAATAATTTGGTAGTTTTGTTTTTGACGTTTTGCAAAATGTTGAATGTTATCTTTAATCACTGCAAAGATTTCAACTTACTCGTCCACTTGACCATTTGATTGAATTGCAGAGAGTATCCCACCCTGGGGCTATGCCATAGTGGGCTGTGTGGGACTTCTCATTCTAGTCATTATCATTGTCGTTGCCATCGTTTATGGCTGGTAAGTATCTTGTAATTTAGGTCATATTTCCCCTTCATTCGTGTTGCACAAACATGGCGACAGTGTTACCTGAAATGTCAGATCAAGAGGAATCACTTCTAAAACAAGAACAGAAATACAGTGAAAGAACACATCTTTACAGAGAGTCGACCTTAGGTGGTTTGAAAATGAACATTGGCATGAATGAGACCTGATTGTCTTGCAAAACCAGGAAACAGCGCACACCAAAACTCACGTGGTTATATTCTTTTGTGGTTATTCCTTTCCAAAGAAAAGAAGAGAAAGGAAACAGTGTTCTTTTATAGCACTTCCGAGATTTTACTTCCACTCCTAAATTGAACATTTCTTCATTGTCTGCTTTTTTCTAATTTTCTTCAGGTTTGGACAATTGTTCTAGAATCCTTGGTTTCATTACCAGAAAAGAAATATACAAAAAAAACGGAATATTAAAAAAATAGCCTTGTGTTTGATTTCTTTTTCTAATTTCCCCCAATTTTTATCCCATTGGCTGTAAGCCGGAGGGGGATATTGCGATAGCGTATTCCTTCTGTGTGTGTGTCTGCGTTTGTTTATGGTGTAAAACGAGAACAAACACGCACAACATCATTGTTGAATCAAGGTCAGAAACTGAATCGAGGACTCCTCATTTGGAATACGTGTACAAAACCAATGAGAGCTGTTGCGAAAACTTAGGGTACAAATAAAGGAAAAGGGAAGAGGAACAAAAGAAAATCCTTGATTTACACCCTAAACAAATGTGCTAGCGTGTGTGTGTGTTATGTTTTGTTTAATAGGTTAACTCTTGTTCTTATGTCAAAAGAAAGGTTCATCAAAACTAGAAAGTCTGTAAGCCTTCATACTTCACACCATCATATCTAAGTTTCTTACTTTTATTTCATTTTTCTCCAAATTCTTTCCACTTTTTTCCAGTCGAAATGCCAAAAGGAAGGAAGAAGAGAAGAGGAAATACCAGCACGCGGCCGACTACTCCATTTACTGGGACGACAACGCCAAAAAGAAATACAACGGCGAGGTAGACCTTTGATGACCCCCACCATGTGCTTTACGTGGGCTTCGGCCTTTCCTTCTATAAGTTGTCTCCCTGTTTGTATAAAGATTTTTTGAAAACTGTTAATGTAACTTGGTGTCGGTCACAACCACTTTTCCTACTGATCCCACCAAAGTTGGGGAAGAAAGATATGAGAAAAAAAACGGGAAAAAAAACAACATACTTTCAGCTAACTACCCTGTATCTACCAAATTTTTTTTAAACATTTTTAGAGTATTTTGATGGATGAAGAGGGAGCAACTATGTTTCCCAATTTTGCAATTCCAGTTACATTTGAAATTCAAAGCATATACCATTTGGTTACTTAATTTTGTTGGGTTTCGGTGGATTTGGGGGAGTTCTTAAAATAGGCTAGCCATGATTAAAATGGTTAGGTACGTGGAAGGGCTATGTACATTTGAAATCGGGCAAGGGTGTGAACGTTAAGCAAGATGTATCAAAAATAATTGGGGAAAGTTGTTTAACATTATCCTTCAATATTGGTGTTTTTTTTGGTGGGGGAGGGTGTTTTGCCCATGAGAACAATGTAAATAAGATAAGTACAACTCAATGTAATATTTGCCTGTCTTTGCCTCCATGTTTTTCAAGATATATTTTGACTTCACTCTTTTCAAAACAATTACACCAAAAATTTAAAAAAAATCTTTTTCAGTGATTGAAAAGCTCAACGAGAGAAATGGGCAAAACAAAACCACTTCCAAGTAATATTTGAAAAATAAAGTCTCGATGGAGAAGCCACTTTTATTGCAATTAATTGATAGGCTGGTTCTATGCAATTATGAGTGAGAAAAAAAATCAAATTATTTTTTGAAAATTAGTTTGTAAATTGTTCATTGAATGTGACAGTAGTTTGCGTTGTAGTTCAGTCCATCGGGTTATCATTTTCACTGAAAACGTAGGCCCACCCAATGAAACTAGAATTAAAGGTTAGTGTTAGGCTAAAAAAAAAACAATTCAAAGACTGAAAAGAAATCTGTATGTTAAGTCGGTTGGTCATGACCTAGAAAAATTATAGTTCAGATTTTATAACAAAGAGAACAGTTTTGAGGTATACAGATTAACTTGACGTTATCTTATGCAACCTAGAGATTTTCTGAGACGACCTTGTCCATTTCTTAACTTATTTAATTTATTCACCTTGTGGTTTAGTAAGACAGTAATTTTATCCGTTTTTTATACATTGAACATATGTAAATAACATCTGATGTAAGACAAAGTAGTCATAAATATAAGAAAACACTGTGTATCTCTGTGTTTCAACAGAGGTTACATGATAAGGCTATGATATATATTTATTGCAGTTTTGTTTTGTGTTTTGTATTTTTAGCGTGTTTCTGCTGTTGACTGTTGAGTCTTATGGTAAAAGACCATCATTTTGAAGAAAAAAAATCCACGTTAAAATAATCACCCTTGCCTTAAATGAATACAGTCACAGATTTTAGATATTTTTTACAGTGTTTTAGTGATAATGTCGACATTGACATCGCAGTGATATCATGTGAACTTTGGCTGTTTTACAAGGGTTTTCTCAGTGAACTGAAGATTTTGACCCTTTTGTTGCTGTAGATTTATGATTTTCAACCCAGGTATACCCTCTCAACCCTTGTCCCGATCACGGATGATTTTTAACTTGGAGATTTTGGATCGTCTGAAAGGTCCTTCAGTGTCAGTAAACAGTCCAAGAAGTTGTTGGTTGCATCCAAAAAAATTCTTGTCCTCGGATATATATTTGAACTGTACCACCAACTGTTACATTACCCCACATTTTATATGAGACAAGTTTTACATGAGGTCATTACAAACATAATCTATGTACAGATTCAAAGTTGTTTTAAAAAAAAATGTGATTTTGTTATTTCAAAATTGTGATTTTTAAGTTGAAACTTAAGATGTACATGATAACTGTTGCATATTTATTTCTGTGTAGAAACGCTTCTTTGTACACTTGCCGTATTTATGTTAAAGCCTTTGAGGCAGAAGCTGCTTGTTTTCGTTTTTAAGCGGTTTTTAAGTTTCTTGGGATCAGTTTTTACATTGTCCATTTTGCAGGCAGTTTTGTCACAAATTGAAATCAGAAGACCTCAATTTTAAACCATCATTTTTTGGTGCTTTCTAATGATAAGTTTGTATTTTTAGCCTTAGTGGTGAGTTTAGAAAGAGTGTCTTTCCAACCGGGGTGAAATGATCAAACGGGGGAAAAAGTAAATGCAATAAAACTGTATATTTGATAATGAATGACGAATGAACAGAACATGTAAAAAAAAAAAAAAAGACAAATGAAGAGAGATTTGAATTCATGTTTTACACTTCTAAATTGTACCATGGTATTTCTGAATTTTAAGATTGTTGGCTTCATATAACATGGATGTTATCTGTACCGAGTTTTTTAAACATGTTTTTTGGGCAACACTGGTTACCAGCTGTGGTTACGCTGTGTCAAAAGTCGGACACAAAGTCTAAAAGGTGCAGTAGAGTACGCAAAAAAAAAAAACATTTTAAGTGCAACTTATAAATATGTGTATTCATGATCTGTACTGCTAGAGTAGAACGTTGAAACCTGGACCAAATGATGTAGCGAATTGGTATGTAACGCAGGTTTTTACAAAAATGTATTATTTTAAAGGCACACCATGAAACATCCAATCAGTAAAATTGTATTTGATTTTAATCTGTATGTAAATTGAGAATAATAAACATAAAAAATTGATCCAAGTTCAGTGACACTTCATGTTTAATTATGATTCATTTTGAAATTCTCAAGACTTTTTTTTAGTTTTATAGCTAAACATTAACATTTAACTGAGGTTCATGGCCTTTAAGTCATAGAGCAGCAACAGTTGACCTTTGACCTAGGTCATTACTTGTATATTTACACATGATTTTCAGAAAGTTGTTTAATTACACACTCAAAAGAACACCATATGATGTATTATTTTCAAACTGAACATTTTTATTTGGTTTGATTAGAAATCACGATCACCGGGCGCATATTGGACATGGTCACAATAATATGTACAATTTATATATGATACAGATTGTTATTAATATTACAGGCACATCATGTACATAAATTTGGTGCATTTTAGAGTAATCAATTGTGCTCTTTAGTACTATTATTACTCTGGACCTAACAATGTTACATGTGCATATACAGAGGCCAATACAATGCTAGTACACAGTAAATATTTGTAAAGATACATGATTTGATAATAAAGTCCAAGCAAAGAAGAAAAATCTTTTTAAAATATTTCCGAAGCAGTTCCATCAATTCACATAAAGCAGACGGCAATAAAAGTGACTGTTATCTAATGAGTTTTTTTTCCCGTCAGCACATCAACTGTGAACATAAATAAGTAGACTTCCATATTACACACAAATACATGTATGCTGCTGGTCATTTTAAAAACTAGATGCTGTTTTTCAACCAACCAATAGTTTGATTCGATTTAACAACTTTTCAGTCATCATTTTTTTATAAATACTGGACACACGATTGCAAATGAAATTACATCAAATTGTACACACATCATAATGTACACACTTTACAATGAAATCACGTTTCAATATACCGGGTAATTGCTTTATCTGCAATTGAATTCCAAAATGGAATGATGCAAGGCCTACACCACTTATCTGAATGAAAAACTGATACCGGTATAAACATGTATCCAGCTACAAAACTGCTTTGCGCTTCCCAAAAAAATGCAACACATTATGCATATATATGTCAGAATATTGGCAGAACAATTACACAGCAGTTATTGATCTGTTGAAATCAACGTTTCCATTTTATCAAAAATATTGTAGGGTATGAGCAAATTGCCACCAGACAAATACAGAACCAAGCCACCCTGTTCTTCGTAGCTGGATTCCTGTCTGTGATTGCTTTAATATATCAGACATTAATAACAGAAGAACATCTGATGTTTCTGGTTCTGCAGACCCTTTTCTGGCCACTATTACAATGAAAACAACCATTCGTTATACCCAAAATATCTGACACACACCTTTTTGATTTTAATCTGATCCTGTGAAAAATTACAATATAATCCTGAAGTTCACAGTCATTTAAGAAAATTTCAAAGTTTCCAGTTTTCTTACTGTTAACCTAGGCGAAATGCTGTGCATTACAGCTAGCAAAACAAGGAATGCTTTATGCCACATTTAGAATGCAACCAATTATAACACATACTGTATGTGCCAGACCTTTTTTGGTCAGCATTATTTGGCAATTTTTTACTTTTGGATTGAAGAAATCTACGTCTTGTTTGACAAGTCTTTACTTAGTTTGGAATGAGAATAAACATCACAGTGACACTTTGCATAGTTCTATTAGCATTAGTACTTTGAAATGGTATGCCTGAAACTTTGGGCAGGCTTGAGAATAAGACACTTGAAATTGCATTTTCGAGAGACACTTTTTAGAAAAAAAAATTCCACACTGGTAATCAAATAATTAGAACCTTGAAACCTATGTTGATCAGAAATGGACTCGGTAAGTAAGTACTCCCTCAACAGTTTACAAAGGGAGAGTTGGGGAGACCACTGGGAGGAGTATTCCAATGCACCGCCGACAACGCCTGACGCATTCAGAATATTAGTCATGCGTACTTCAAGCCAGATGTGTGCGAACCAGTGCGCATCAGTGTGCACATGCACTACATCCACAGTGCGCATCAGTGTGCACATGCACTACATCCACCCCGAGGACAGACAGACGGCGGGAGAACAACAGATTCTTTGTTGTCGTTAATCTTTCATCTTTTGTTGAAAACAGTCCTCAATCGTGCGGTTGTGTGCTTAGTCTATGGGAGAGTGTTATATTATAGGGACAAAGGAAAAGACAATGCCTTGTCCTCGAGAGTTGTGTAAAGAACAACTGTGTGCACATGCAGTGTCTCCCCCACTGCAGCTCAAAAATAGTCACAGACAAACTGTTCATGCATGGAGTCCGCACTGACATCATTGGACCTCAAAAAAACAACTAACATACACCTGCTGTAATACTGAATTCAAATACCACACCAAACAAACACAGCTTGAAAAGTGGGTTGAAGCAAGGAACTTATGGTAAGTACTTATACATGATACACTTAGATATATGTTTTTACACATGATACTTCTGTTGTTCTAGTATCCTAGCTCAGAGCTACAATGGTATAAAATTCATCAGGTTTATCTTGTTCATAAAACAATTTGTCTCAAATGCCTCTCTGTTTGTATTAGGTTAGACAGATTTATTGAAATTTTTTTAGCAAAACTGGATTTCAAACTAAAGTCTGATATAGTAAATCTGGCATATCAAATTAAAATCCAAAGTAACCTTGGACTATTACTAAGCTATACAAATCATTAATGTTTATTTTATCGGCCCAGTGCCAAAACTTTGGGGATTCAGACTCATCTGCTGACCATGTTAGTGAAAATGTTGGTATGAGTTTAATCAAACTAGGCATTCCTTTAAAAATAAATCGACCCAAAACCATTAAATAAATATAATTTGTTGGGAAAGTTTAATGTACTGATCAAAATTCCTAGAGTGTGTATGTATTTGTTCTGCTGCCCGATTATTGTGTTCATGTACTTTCAATTAGTTATATTATTAAAATATGGCAAAATACAATATCATTTTAACACGCAACATATCAGTGATGTTAAGTGGGTCATTGTTTAAGTTATAACATGACAAATACGAGAATATAACAATTTATGGCATGAACAGAAGTAAGATCTTTTTTTTTTCAATAGTTACAATACAGACAGACACCCACCTACCATAATTTGTACGATTCAATATTCACATACAAACATTTACACACACACAGACTGATTTCACACCGATTATTCTAAATTTTCAAAACTACTAATTTGAAAACGTAAACACCTATATGCACAGCAAGCTGGAAGACACTGATAAATCATCTTTGTATAAATAACTGTGTGGCCACACCCACACAAACTAAATATGTACAACAAGTACTACTTTGGGTGTTAGTACAGTACGCACTTCTGTCAAAATTTTAAATAACTCTTTTTGGTTATTGGGGAAAGTATCTTTTCCTACAAGTACTTTTAATTGAATAGGCACACCCTCATCAGTTGAAATACACAAACCTTGTAAACGAACACATCTCCTTTGGTAAATGCTTCTCATCACTCAAAACAAAAATTATCATTTCATGAAATGTACTGCCCTGGTCAATTACACAAATTTGACACACGTTACAAATTTCCCAAATCACTTTTAAATAGTCTGTCAATTTTTCATAGATTCCATTCACAATCCGATTGCAATGCAACTTTTTCTATACTTTTAAAATATTATTTTATAATTCTCTTTTTGAACTTTTTTTATTTCAATCTTTGCAAAGGGCAGCATGTTTTGAATCTGAATATTGAAATCTATGTCTTCTCTGAAGTACATATCTGGTAAATACGACTAGATATGATAGAATTTTCTTCTGAAAAAGATTGCTTGCTGCAACATATTCATTATGTTGTCCTTTGGACCCACAGGGAACTACGTTCACTTCAGACATTTTTTCATAACTGATGAAAAGAATAACTTAACAACAGGCACTGGGTCTGGCAGAAATTCTTCCGATTTGTTTTTGTTTGAATATCGTCAAGCAGTGAATCCCATTCCAAGATATTCCATTCTCGGAATGAATTACAAAACTGAAGGTTATTTCTCCGTTCAAAATGACTAGGCACAACATGAAAACATGGGCTTACCTGTGAAAAAAAAAAAGAACGCCTGTAAAAATTCACCAATCACAAAATCTGGAATGTTTAAATATTCACTGATCGTATAATTGCAACCTTTTTTTCAATACAAAATATCCTTGATTTTTGCATAATAATTTCCGATTCGAGAACCTCCATTACAAAAAACCAATACATATTACAAACTAATAAAGGCACAAGCATGGTGAATCACACGAGAAGAAAGTGCAAGTTGAAGAAAAATATTAATGAAAAAAAAAAAACACTCTAATTGCAAATGGATTAAGATCATTGAGATGTACCAACTTAGAATATCTATGTCATTAACATAATTAATGACAGCTTAATAAAATTAGTAAGTTGAATTGTTGGGTTGTATGCTGCCCTCTATTGATGAATTCCATCAGTGAATGTTTAAAAACCATAGAGGTTTTCCAAACCACGGTTTTGTCTTCACGTCTGGCTTCAGAATCATTGTGAGGCATTCAATGTCTGAACCAGATGGAAATACTCTAAACCTTGGTCTCATTTTATTCTTGGATTTGATGTATCTGAAGCAGACCATGAACTCGGAACAGGAGTTCCCTAATATCAGGGGCCTAAAATCACCCAAATCCAAAGCTGGAACAAAACCAGGGTTTCAACAAAGGTTCTTCACCTTTAGCATCAGCGCCAACAATATGGAATCCTGTAGTGGACACATCTCAACACAGATAATTTAACATTTTGTCACCCCAATAAAAAAAAAAAACTCAATGACAATGTTATAAATTCACTTTGGCATATATCAACCTTCAAGTAGGCATTTCAAAGACAAATTAATGGAGGAAAAAAAGCAACAAACTAAGCAGAATATGACACAATGTCGAAAAATAACATGTCCTCAACCACACTTCAATATTACGGCAGTCTACCATGATTACTCCCCCCCCCCCCCCCCCCCCCCCACAAAAAAAAAAATTAAGACATCTCAAAAAAACCTAAATATAGATTGTGTAGCTCTAAACTATAAACAAAAAACAGAGATAGTTTGGGGGGTAAATATTTTTTAAATAATTTGGTTTTGCCCTTTCACTGACGAAATTTCATAATTACACATTTTTATTCTTTGCGATTAAACTCCTGTGAGGGCGCCAGACAGAGTCAAGTTGGCTACCAGCATTTCAGCTTGTTAATACTGCTGTACGCTGAGACATCCGAGTTTTCTTCACAAAATAGTCAGGTATGGAGCTTGAAGCTGGGGTCAACTGACCAGGAATACATGTGGCATCTTTCCGAACCAGAGAACCACTAGCCTTCAGGGTTTATCTGTGGGAGTAAGCGTCAGGTTCACTTTGTTCTCGTACGTTTACCTGTTGTCGCATTAGGCCATGATTTCAAGCTTGGCGCCTTTCCGCTTGATGGAGGGGTGGGGGTTTGATACGTTGGCGTCTTGCGTGCAGACGGTAGCCTGCACACGGGTACCGTTGAAGTTCAATGGGAATCTGTTCAAGATAATGGGAAATGACAAATACTGACTGTTTCCTGGAAAACCTTTTGTTTTACGTAACTTGTCGATTTGTCTTTAAAAAATAAAAGAGGAACAGCCACAAAATCCATTGAGCATTATTGTTAATATCTTAAATAAATGAAATTTGAAAAGAATATTTTGCAAATTTGTCAAAGGGTGATCAACATAAATACAGACATATGGGCTTGAAAAGGATGAAAATAATTAGTTGAAAAGTCAACTTTTGAATGGTGATTGCCAAAAAATTTAGTGTTATGAAACTAAAATCAGCAAATCAATTAACCTCAAGAAAGCGACAATAGATGTGTAGTAATACTATAAACTGTGCTGTATTTCTCTTCATTTCTCCTTCCTTTCTCCTTTTGTAATGTCAAATTAATGGTTCTTCTCAGAACCACACACAACAGAGGCGGTTCTAGAGCCAATATTTTGGGGGGCTAGCAGGGTGGATCCAGAATTTTTTTTCAGGGAGGCGTGCTGAAATGTAGACCGGTTATTTTCTCCGGACAGGTAGGCCTCCAAAAATCAATAGGTGGGGTGGGGTGGGGTGGGGGTGGGGTGGGGTGGGGGGGGGGGGGGCTCGTGCCATATTTCCAATGGGGAGCGCTGATAAAAAAGGGGCACAGAGCAAAAGCGCACTGGTTTGCTTCAGTATGACATTATATGACACAATATGACATGATATGACAAGATATATGACAAGATATGACAAGACAGGACAAGACATGACATGACACGGTATCCCTTGTTGACCCGTGCGGATTCCAACACAGGCAGCAAGGATAACAGTTACATACCTGTCGGTCACCTTGACTTGTACATCTTGATTGGTCACGGTTCGGATACTCCGCTGGAACTTGGTGACCAGCTCAATAGATTTGTCGGTCACAATCACAAAATCCCCTTTCTTGGTATGCTCACTTCCCTGGAATGGCAAACCAAGTCAAAAAAAGATAAAATCTTTTGCAAATTGTGACACACAGTTGCACTTCTCAGCAGTAATTCTATCTTAGAAATGAACTTGAAAGCAACCCGATGACTGGCTTTCAATAGTTTCAATTCATAGGCAGTGACACACCCAAGAAATATATTATCGATCATGCCTCACACTGTGAATTGGTTTTTAACAGAATGAGTTTGAAGTTTACCCATCTAGGATATTGGCAAAAACAAAAAACCAAACCAGGCCAAATAAAGATATTGACTGTTTCTGTTGTTGTTCTACTTTTTGTGCTGATAAGTTGATGTTGCAATAGACCGATCCGTTAAGCCCCGCCCACTGCGCACATGAGGAAACAACACGTGTGCCTCTCCGATGCCACACTGCATGTTCCAGCCGTGCACATCATACCCGCGTGCACGCATGTCAGACTTTTGTGCACGCATGTCCAACATAAATCAAGGTTGTGATTGGTCAAACGTCATGGATCAGTCTTTTGTAACTGGAGAATACAACAAACTTTTTTAATTACACATTGTTTCAATCCCGTCTTATCACCCCATTCGAACTTGTATTAGATTGTATTACATTGTATTACATTGTATTACATTGTATTACATTGTAAGACGCTGTATTTATTCCGTGATGAATCCATAAAACCATGAAGCGCTGAGGCAGTTTTTGACTGTATTGGGACACAACAAACTTGTTTAATTACACATTGTTTCAATCCTGCCTTATTACCTCATTCGAACTTGTATTAGATTGTATTAGATTGTATTACATTGTATTTATTCCGTAATGAATCCATAAAACCATGAAGTGCTGAGGCCGTTTTGGGGCTGTATAGGGAGTAACAGGCAGGACAGTTTGGGGCAGTGCAGAAACAAATGGTTCAGGGCAATTAATTCTTTGACAGACTTGCAAAACCTTGAGACTTTAAACTTGCAACAAAATCTTATTTCACACTGAGGGAAAGAGTGTTAGTTATCCATAAGAAAGTCAGACAGACAAGACAGATCTGCTTACCTTTTGTAAGTGCAAGACGACGATGCCATCGCTGTAAGGACTGACGGTAAAGCCAGCTACATCAGCCAGGGGAATACGACTCTTGAGGGCTAGTGTCTTCTGATCCATCATGAGGAAAGAGCTGGTGGTTAGGACAAACAGCTGGGAATGCATCTGCGCAGGAGAAATGAAAAATTAAAGTGAAAAAAAAACATGAAGAAAACAAAGCTAACACTCTGTCGGTATTACTTATTTCTTCAAATGGAACTAACGAGGTTCACGATAGACTTCTCGATAACACTTTTCATTCCTTTAGTTTTCTTTATTTTCAGGGTATGGGAAGTTTTGATGAGAAAAATAAAGTAAACAAGTGTCAGCACCGACAATAGGGACAAGATACTCAACTCACTCATAAATCAATACCTGGGAAACACTTTACAAACTATAACACACAGATATTCAAGCAGTGTTTGACCAAAGTGGATTATCTAAACCTCAACATAATACCACTATTTTTTTATGATGGAAGTAAGCACACAACACAGATGGGTAAACTGATCAGGTGCAACTGGCATCTTAATCTTAAGAAAACTTGCATAACTTATAAGTCTTAAAACTGTGTTGGGAGTTAATTTATATTGTTAAGAAAATGACTTTCATTGATTCATGTACGACTGCAACCTCACAAAGTGGCAAACAATGCGTATTTATAAAGTGCACGTATCCACCAGTATTGGTGCTCAAGGCACTTCATCATTATTACCCCTGCTCATTGGGCCAATGAAACATTCCAAAGACAATCTCAGCTCCCTGGGGAGTATACAGCTCGATGCTGCCATTTCGGCGCAAAGCAGCTAAAATAAACCACTGAGTGGAGAGAAGTAATGAGTGACATAGTGCCTTGCCCAAGGGCACACGCACTATAGCCGCAGGCTGGACTCGAACCCACAACCTGCAGAATTACCCGCAGACCACGAATTCAATGCCCCAGACCACGAGGCCACGGCACTCCACAAGACTTTCTCAAATGGAGTATGAGTTCACCCATAAACTCTCTACAAAACAAGTCTACAGAATGTGGACTGCTGGTGTTTTTATTGCGGCATTGCCTGTGTTACCATACCTTTGCATTGCCTCTGTTGATCTTGTTAATGACGTCGGCAAACACCACGTGCTGGTCGTTGGTTGCGGAGAAGGTCTTGTTGAACTTGGCGTTCTTCTTTAGCTGTACGTAGTCACCCTGGAATACCTTGGACACACTGTAAGAAGGATACGCACACAGGACACACTGTTGTCAGATCCCATCAATTCAGTTTGGACAAACAGAATGTTTCCTCCTTTCTTGGCTAGTTTTTTTTTCTTTCCCTTCCAACTAATTTTCCTTACTTGCTTACTCATTTAACACTTTATGACAATGACATGTCTTTTAAAAATAAAATCTTGAGTACTTCTAAAGCCTGCACACTATTAATAACCTCTCAAGCCTGCCACACACTGTTCCGATTTACCAGTTTACCAGTTCACCTGTACAGTTTTTTTTTCACCGAGAGACTGCAACATTAATAATAATAATAATAATAATTAATTCTTATATAGCGCATTACATCATTGACACAATCTCAATGCGCTTTACAAAGTTAATAAAACAAATGTCACTAAATACACTAAAAAAGCTCATCAAAAATATTAATACATCACCAATCTATTGATTTAAATACCAAGTAAAATTCATTAAAAATACATTAAAACCACAATCAGTCAATCATCATGAATGTTATTTAAACACCTGATGGACACATGCCCCATTCCGTTCTATAATCGGTCACATGATGACCAGTCACATGATGACCAGTCACATGATGACCAGTCACATGATGACAAACTTGTAGCTGTCAATTTTGAATCATGTGACTTCCTTCGTGAATCTGATTGGTTAACAAAAATATTGCGTTCGGTGAAATCAGAGTGCTGCCCACACACCTTTCCAAGGAAATCGGATCTGGTGAAATCGGATGTGAAACAAATCAAACATGTTTGATTTCATCCGGTCACCCAGTGTACGGTCAGATCGGTCCGATTTTTCAGCGCGCACCTCTCCGATGTGTACGTCCGATGGCCCGATAATCCAGTGAACCGGTAAAATCGCAAATGTGTGTGGCGGGCTTTAGTTGGTTAATTGCCTATAAACATCTGAGCCAGTTAACAACATAAAGACTAACGGGAAGACTACAAACATTGAGCTTAAGTAGCTAAGTACTCCTTGTGATTGTGCATAGAACATTTAGCTTGCAAAACACAGATGCACAAACTTATCTTGTAAGTTTAGCCCCGTCACACCTTTGCGTATCCTAGTTCCTTATGAGTTCCTTATCAAAAATTTTCAATACGCAGCCGTACGCTCAATTAACGTCTAAATGTTTTGATCACTTTGACTTATGTGCGACGCACATCTAGCGTACAAGTAACGAATTCAGCGCATCCATTGCGTATGAGATGCGTATGAGTTGCGTATGCAGTGCACAACATTATTTTTCGGGCTGCGAATAGGTCAGTATGCAGTGCGCATGCCGAGCGTATTCCGGACGCACCCGACTTATGCCGACCGCATGCTTGACGCACTTCTGAGCGTATTCCCGCCGCATTTCCGCCGCTCGCCGTTCAGCGTGCGTTGCATCTGTGCTGCAAGTACGCTATGTATACGTCCAATACAGGCAGCTCATATGCTGACGGGATGCGTCACGAACACATAGCGTACTCGTAACGCACTCGACCGATGCGGGACCGATGCGCTGCGTATTTATAACTTATGACCTGCGTAACAGCGTACGCAGCGTAGTTTTGTGCATGCCCAAAACTATCCTGCGTACTGGACCGTACCATGCATATATCTGCGTACATAAAACCTACACAAAACGATAGAGATGCATATGAGGTGCGTATTGTGCGTACGACTGCATATGAAAAAAATGTCAATGCGCAACTCATAAGGAATTAGGATACGCAGAAGTGTGACAGGGCCCTAAGGCTATATGTCCCTCCTTCAATTATGGAAACATCTCATAAACAACTGTGTTCTTTAATGGTCTGCATAAGGACTTCATTCATTCACTACCAAAGTTATGATAACTCTCAATCAATGTCAAAGGGTCATCGTGTTTCTGTTAGTTTCTGTAAGTTTTACCTCTTAGGGTAGAGGGTCTTCTTATCCTTGAAGAGGATGCTTGCTGTTACTTTCTCCCCAAATCGCATCCTCGTGGCCTCATCAAATCTCTTCCGATATTGCTTAGCCTGGGAGGCAGGAATACAAGAATTATAGTTTCTTCGACTGATCTTGGTTCATCCAGAACCCAAATGCTACATCAGTCTTATCATTTATCATCAATAAGCTTTTTTTCCGTTCCAAGCTCAACTTCCACAAATATTTGGATGTCACACGTCACATGTAGCACACAACTGTTTTTATTTGTGTTTAATAATCTGATTTATTTCATACATTTCATTTATATATCTTTTATCAAACTTTTAAGATTTGTTTAAGTCAGGTCAGTCCAGTTTGCAGTTTGCAGCAACTTTTTATCAAGAAAGAGACTTTCCTAAATTTAAACTTTCAATAACTGTTGATCAATTTTGACAATTCTTGCTAAGAACACATGTCCCAACAAAAAGTTTTCCGTCAACTGGTCTAACTTTAACCTCCATGATCAAAGCACTGGGAGATGCAGGATTTTGGACGGTTGAGCTCAGGAACTATTACTTTACATGTGAAAAAAAAATTGCACAAAAAGCAAATGATCCTTCGTAACTTTAAAAGAAAGGAAATGGCAAAGTTTTGTATTTTGGACTCACCCGCCATCTGATGAAGATTTCCTTGAGTTGTTTATGTGCCTTGGTGTGTAGGACGGAGCAGGGAGGCCAGGAATAGTCCAAGGGGGACATGGTGGGCAGATGCTGCTGCAATCGACGTAGATAACTTGTGTGCTGCAACAACAACAAAACAAGACAAGGTAAGCCTCATCAAGCTAGTCTCAGAGCGTGCACAGCTCTATTCAATTCATTCAGAATGGCTAAAAAAGTTTGTACAACATATTGTAGTGGTAATTGGATGGAAATAAGTAAAATCCACTTTACCCAGAGACTATTCCCTACACGAGTAACATGAAAGTATGTGAAACCAGCAGCACATTTACATACATGAACAGGCAAGCCTCGTACTAAAAAAGCACTCTAGAAAGAGCAGTAGCCAGGGTTTTATGACTTACATGGCATCTTTGGAGGAACGCAACAATCTTGGGGGCAGCGTTGGACCTGAAACGCTTCCTGTGCTCCTTGCGAATCTGCAAATAAGTCAGTAGATTAGTCAGATTCTTATGTCGACATACAATGCACCAAACTGGCTGTGAAGTACAATACTTTGGGAAAATATAAACATTGTTAACACAATACAGAAATATCATATGGTAGACAGAATAATACTAATGTGGAGCTTTTACAGTACTTTATAGAAATGTCTTAAAACCTTAACTCCCTAGGGGGTGTGCAAAATCGTATTAAAATTGGAGGATTCAGGACTGTTAGGGATAGGCTATAGCACTTCAATTTTTGTTTGGCTCTGTCCATTAGGCCATGATATAAGTATTGTGCAGTAGCTTGAGATTGGTGCAAAGGACGCTTTATACTTCAAGTGAGTGCAAATACAAAGACAGTTTCTCATCAGTCTATATTCCTGGGGGAGAGGCAATTGTAGTAAAGTGTCTTGCCTATGAACACAAGCCCAAAATTCTGGTTTTAATCAATATACTGCTGCATGTGAGTCCCACGTTGTAGCCACATTGTAGTCTGGGTTAGGTCACTCTAACCCAGAGGTGGTATGGACTCCGTGCACGAGTATAGCTGAACGTTCATGCAAAGACCCAATTGAACGTTCCTGCAAAGAGCTACAAGCTCATTCAGAGCAAAATTAGTCTTGCTTACTTCGTGCAATACGAGCATGAACCAGTCCGTGCAATATGACTGTGAACCAGTAAGTGGTGCATGAACAGGATTCCCATCACTTTATAAAAACAAATTCCCTGAGTTTTCCCTGAAATTTCCCTGAACTTTTTTTCAAAATTCCATGAGAAATATTTTCACTTGAACAAGGTTGCTGGGAAGTCGAGGTGGTCACACCATAGCAACTAAAATACTGATAATATTCACAATGCATTAACACTAAAAAACCACCCTTACCAGTCAGTCAAAGAACGCAACTTGGACACATGTTACACGACGCACATACCCCAAACTGGCAAAAGTCTTTCCCTTCCGGCTCACTGTAAAATTCCTTGATTTTTCACTGATTTTTGATATTTTTCTGAAATTCTCAGATTTTTTCCGGAGAAATGGAACCCCATTTTCAAGGTTTTTCCTGATTTCCAGAATGACTGGGAACCCTGGTGAACCAGTCCGTGCAATACGAGTGTCAACCAGTATCTACACGCAGTGTGTCTCCCCCACTAGAGTATTTGCAAGTGGTGACAAAATACCATCTACTATTCGTGCACAGAGCCCATACTGTCTGGTCGAGAAAACACTGCAAACTCTTAGTGGCAATGACAGGGTTAAAGATAACAGAGTCCTGCACGCACCTTCCATCCCAAGAAGTACTTGTGTACGATGTTGGCTGCCCAGAGACACTTGGCTTGATACTTTCGTCTTCTGAACTCCTTGCGGGCCTGGTGGCCTCGGTAGTAAGACGCGATCATGATGGTGGCGTTGCGTATCCTCACATACTGCTTTCTCTCCTGAGGAATTCAAGACAATGGATGACATACGGGGTGAGTCAAAAGAAAGTGACCAAATTTACAAACGTTTTTTGAAATATGTGGCCTGCTCTATTTCATAAAAATAACACAGGGATAAAGTACATGTCATTGACTAGTAACTGTGAAAATTTCACTTAATATGCATACTCTATTCCAAGTAATGACTATTTTTATAAAAAAAATCACCACTGATCTACCGTTCTACGAAGTGATGAATACCCATTAAATACAATGAAACATGGACGTTTTCCCACCTCCATGAATGAACGAAGAGTCGCAACGGAAACAGACAAAAATCGCTATCAATATTTCAGACTTGTTAATCACATTCAAAACATAAAATCTGACGGTAAAAATAATGTTTCAGTCTTGACTGAAATGAATATATAGTCCCACTCGTATTTGAATACCTGTGTGTAATCTGTAATTCTCACTCAGCTCAATAGCTTCCAATGGCATTCCACAGACAGTCATAAGAATGGGTAATTTTAGTAAAACATGCATAACATCTTACATTTCAATGTCTCTGTAATGCCTCAGCTCCTATTTAGAGGCAAAATGTTAACATCGCAAAAAGGCTAAATCCATTGCTCGTGATCCAGTTACTAAAAATACCAAATTTTGTTGGGGTTGGATAGAAGAAACTTGGAGTTTGGGGTCTGGAAAGTCGGGAAAAAAATGTTGCACAAGTCTGTGGGAATGTCTCCCAAAGGGTACCATTATCGGCTCTAGTTTATCGTTATTCTTTTAGACGACTGTCTCACCCTGTATCCCCTGAACCTAGTCTCAATAAGGACTGCACTCTGTCTCATCAGTTGGAACGTGGAGTAGGCCTTCCAGCCACGGTAGATCCTCTGTAGCAGAGTGGCTAGATCCTCCATCCTACGGTGCCGCCGCTCCTCCAGATCAAACAACTGAAAACATGAGAGAAGCAAGGGGTTGCTCAATCCAATACAGGCCAATAAAAAATATTGCTTGGTGGTTTTATGTGCTGGGCAACATTCATCTGAGAACCAGTAACTAACAGGACGCATCACAGGACATTTTAAGCTGGTGACCCGTTTTTGCTAAACAAGTGGTTTTTCTGGCTTTGCAAATTTCTATGCCCTGGTGAGTTACTTGGAGAATGGAAGACTTGCACGAGTGAAGTCAATGTTTATTGTGAGTACTTGTCCATGCCCCAGGCAATAAGAACAAATAAACAGATGTCAAGTCTACTGGAGCCCAAGACTTGGCATTTGAGAATTTGTTCCAACTCACTCACTTGTATCATTAGACTTATGTATACGATCATTTGTAAAAGAATCCATTACGGAGATGGTGGTACGCTCCCAACTGGTGTTTTATTCAACCATGGAGGTAGGCTATGAACAAACCCACAGCATGGTGCTATCTCGGTAACGGGGGTCGCTTCATTAGTCTATACCGCTTTCCCATTCCAAATGATACCAAAAGCTTTTTCCTTCCCCCGACCCTGTCTGTCACGGTAGGTTCAATCTAGATCAACCCTGACCCTCCCAGCTTCTTGAGTATCTACTGGGACATTTTGGAGGATTTTGCAGGATTGAGGAAGGTAGAGCCCTTGAAAATGTAAAGAATGTGCCACCGGTTTTGTGCACAGCGGAGGATTTCGGAGGATCCAGGAAGTTCATGGGGAGTCACGGTACACGGTAACTTACTGTTCTTGGGTTGCGGATGAATATCTTGGTTCTCCCGAAGGCATACTCCTCCTTGGTGACCTTGAGATGGGTCAGGATCTCTCGGACCCCGTCCTGGGCTTGGCGGCGCCAGTTGGGCCAGGTGGACGGGCAGAGCATCTTGTAGCGACCCAAGAAGACCTCGTAAGGCTGCCTGAAGGCGTAGCCTGCACGCCGCACTCGCACATTCTCCATCAACCTGGGATGCCAAGCACAAACCAAAAGCTGGTTGTCAGCCCTTTTCCAGAACTACATGTAACTCAAAAGTGTAATGCAGTGTTGTAATCGAGTGTATTACAAGTCCTCCCAAGTCCTTCCAAATCTTCTGAACTCCTCACAAGTCTATCACAAGTCCATGATAAGTCATCAAGTCATCAATAATGTCACAATAAGTCATCTACAATGTCACACCTTGGTCCCTTTTATAGAATGACCAAGAGCTGCTTTATTTTTGTGGGGGTGGGGGGAGAATAGAGTTGTTTGTTTATTCTTACCCCAGATATCTGACTTGATGTCTGACAAGCTTCTCATCAAACACGTCGCTCTTCTTGTAGTCATTGGGCTGAAATGAGAAGAAAAATATATACACACTACATTAAACATTTAATATCAAAATAATCACACCCAAGCAGAGGTTTGGAAATATTATCATAAAATTACTGACGATTTCAAGCAACACCACTATAAACTTTGGCATCACTGTAAGTCCTTCAAACCAACTTGGAGGTTTTGAAATGAAATTTGGAAAATGAACAGTTGATCTTTCCAACCTGACAGAATGAAATGGATTGAGTTCTTAATTGCTGTTTTGTCACCTCTGACCTGTAATTTAGCTTTGTTAAATTAACCAAACAAAGGACAGTTTCATACCTTGATACATCTGATGTAGTTGGGGTCCTTGGCCAGAAGATTCTTCATGAGTTGCGCCACTGAGAGCTGAAAAAAATACCAAAAGAAATGCATACGTAACTTAACACTGCATTTCAATGTGAAGTATAGGCAAATCATACTTTTTGGCAAAATAACGTCCCGTAGATTGGATTGGGTAGTATGCTTACCAAGATGTCAGTGAAAACAATAAATGTGAAACTGCGAAACTTTGCAACTAGTCCAATATTAAAGACACTTGTTTTCAGTACATTTACAGTGGTAGCATTGACTTTTTTGGGGGGGGGGGTTGCCTTGTGTCCTCGAGCAAGATATTTAGCTGTAACTGCTTCTCTTGCTACCTTTCAAGGGTAAAATTTACTAACCAGCAATTGGATATATGAGCTATCAGCAAAAAAATCATCTTCAATTTTCATTGTATTAATGGAACAAAGAAAATCAAAAAGACAAATGCAATTCCCGGTGTGCGCTCCAAATTGCAAGACTGAAAAATCAAGATGGATCGAAGGTTAGAAGAATTGTTCAGCGTCATGAGGTGGAAGAAACAACAAAAGCCTTTAGTTATTATTTACCTATTCTCATCATATCATGCTAACATATTTACTCTTATTGAGCTATCTTTTTGACAAACCGAACTACCCCTCCAATGTCCTGACAGGGTCCAGTTCAGGCCATTTTCGGCCCCAGCTACCCACCTTGAACTGGAACCCGGTGGTGATGGGTCTCTTGTTGGAGCTAAACTTTGGGTCTCCCTCCGGGAACATGTCCTGCAGGAGAATGTGCTCACACTTGAACATCAACTCGGACAGATCTCGGAATAGGAGGTCGTTGTTCTTGTCAATGAAGCCGTCCACTTCGTACGTCACCTTGTGAATACAAAAAAACAATTCATTCTGAATTACAACACTGCAGAATAAACTGATTTTTGAATTGATTTTGAATTGAATTGGTGTGATTTTTATGATTTTCTTTTTTGTTTTTAACCTACTGGTTTACTTTTTTCAGTTCTATTACTCAGATGTCTACAAGCTAATCTAAAAGTGGTTCATTTTCATCCAACACCATCTGAGGCACAAGTGGGTGACAAATTGTGCAAAATCCACACATGGACTTTGCCTAGTACACCGTACTGCAAGGGAGTCCAGGAAATAAACATCTAAACACCATGGGGAAAAGCCCTCGAAGAAGACACTGCTGAAACTTGCCATATACCTCCTATGCCCTGTGACTTAACACCCCGCAAGACTGGTCTTGCCACAATTTGATAAGTTCACTCTTAAATCTTGAGAAATATAACCCTAAAACGTTGTTCACCATTTCAAGTGTCAACAGTGGCCGCGTCGCCTTTGCGCATTGCAGGCTCTTCTCGCATAAACAAAAACACACGTCACACTTGATTTGCACGCTTGCCAATTTCATGGATCTCCTGAGTAAAGAAGGTGGCTGAGCAGAGAAATTGTTTGCTTAGCGAAAACAGGTTACCAGTCAAAACGTCATGCAATGTTTAATGCCTGCGGCTGGTTCTCAGCAGAATTTTCTTAAGCAGAGATAAAACTGGCCTCTGGAAACAAATTGGAAAATAGGCCGGAAAAATATTTGTGTCCGAAATCTGGGCCGCGCACATGATGTACATGTACATAACAATAAACTTAGTGCCCAATATTGGACACCGCCTCCAGTTTTATTTTAGATCCAACCGAAATTTTATGATGTGAAAAATGTTCAGTTTTTCCTTATTAAAAAAGTCTGAATAAGGGAATAAATGTGTGCTCCGGAGGTTTTTATCACTCTGTTTAATACCACTTAGAGTCTGGGTGCTGATAATTACCCGAGCCGGAGGCGAGGGTAATTATCAGCACCCAGACTCTAAGTGGTATTAAACAGAGTGATAAATACCGACGGAGTACATATTTATTCCCATTCATAAATACCTTTTCGGTAAAAAAAAATCATATAATTCGTGCAAAACATCCCGATTTTGTTCAACAAATTCACTTTATGCTTTTTGAATCATCCCTCCTGCAAAATAATGGAGTGTTCAGCTGGCGAGTAAGATGAAAACAACCCTTTTATGGAGATTGACGCACGCGTATCATGTTCTATGCGATGTCGCGCAGAACGCACCTGGCGCGTTGCGTTTTGAATTTAGAACTATAAAATTCTAACTCCCTGGTAGTGTTGCGCATGCCTACGTGAGGATTGTGAACGTTCAACCAATTAAACGATAAGAGGCACTGGATTTTTAGGAGTCCACATTTTATTGTGACACTGGAAAAGTGTTTAAGACCAGCTAGCCATGTCTTTATCATCCGTTTAATACCGGCCACGTGACGGGCTCTCGACCAATAGGAATAGCTAAACTGTCTGAGGTATTTATGAATTAAGGTTAAAGTATCTGACTCGTCAACAAACACTTCTTTTCTTGCTTGAGAAAGTCGAGGAAAAATTCCAAGCAATGAATAAGCATGGTACTCCAAGACAAGTGCCCCAAGACGATCATCGTGATTTCTAAAGCATTGCATTTTGTAAAACTAAATCTGAAACATCCGAAAATAACACAACCTTTTGGATTTCACTGCAGTTGAACTCCACATGCAACAGGAAGCTCTGTACATAGTTTCAGACATGTCAAAGGTTAATGCTTAAACTTATTTCCAGCCGGAAACTACTCCAATCCGGGCTTACTTGTATGCGTCTACCATACAATCTGTGCGCTGACGACTGGTAAAACAGAATAAAATTGAGCTCGCAATACAGATGTTGCTGCGCTGTTTTAATAAAATTTGTTGAAATACAATTTGCAAATCAGACTTTGCGGGAAAAAAGATTGTCAGAAAAATTGGAGATTTGGAAATAAATTTGAAAAAGTTAGATTTCCGATTAAAATCAGAAAAGTTTCATCTCTGCTTAGGCGCATAAATTTGCTCAGCACAATTGGACATTAGTTCAAGGTTTATTTGTACCGCTCCGGCGTAGTGTTGTAGTCGGAAGCTGGAATGGTTGATGGTCTTGTCCGACTTGAGTTTAGCTCGGCTCTCGTAGTGCTTATGACCAACGATGTACTTGGAGGCGTTGAGTCTGTTCAGGTAGGTAGCGTCGGTCACGTCGCCGGGTCGAAGGCACTCATCATCCAGCATGGCCAGAATGCCTGCTTTATTCTGAACAGAAGAAAGAGGAGATCAGATAAAATATTTTGTCTACTGATGTACATTAATTTTGAGAGTTGACCACTTGGCAAAGAAATCGCACCTCACAAGCCCGGTGTACACGTACAACTCAACAACTGCTGCTGGCTTGTAAAACTTCAGACTTTGAGTTGTCCTGTGGGCTGGTGACAACCATCGCAGCAGATAACAGCGCATTTGAATTGTTGTATAAAATCAGACACCTCTGGACAGCTTATAGAAAATAGGGGTTTTTTTCCATTGAAAATATCGATCTTCCTTTTTAAAATTTCTGTTTCATTTTTGAAAACAGACTTTCCTTGGTAAATTAGTAAAAGTTCATGATGTCTCAAAAGTGAAAACAGAAATTGCCGGATTATTTTGTGGAGGTTACGCATTTCTTGAATTGTAACACCTCTACAAATCAACCAAATACAACTTCAGAGGCAAGATTACTATCTAAATCTTTTACAGTATAGTTTAGACATACCCCGTATTTTAAATTACAAATTTGGGAAAAACTAAAAATCGGAAGAAAATCAGCCGAACATTATTTTGTTATTTATGTTGTTGGTTGTGCCTCAATTTCTGACTGGAGTTGTCTGATTTGGACAGAAAAAAATTGTAAAGTCTGTCGCGAGCCAAAGTGGCTCATCAGGCCAGCGTTTATCTCCGGTTTCAGTAGCATGAAACGACTGAGAATATTTCTACTCCCCCTGGATGGGATGCTAGTCCATCGCAGGTTACTCCCCAGCTAATGCCGGTACCCATTTATACTCCTGGGTGGAGAGGGGCAAGTGGGGGTGAAGTGCCTTGCCCAAGGACACAATATATGACCAGCGGCTGGATTCGAACCCCGGACCCTATGATCATGAGTCACGAACCCTAACCACTAGGCCACACACTCCCCCTGATTTGGACAGAATGCGTCACAATGATCAATTGCTGCCAACCTTGTCTATGAGTTCACAGATGGAGATGTTATTGAAGTAGTCAATGTGTGTCCACTCAATGCCCTCAATGATGTACTCCTGCTGCTCCTCCTGCAGTGTCAACTCAATGAAGATCTGCTGTAGCTTCTCATTGCAGTAGTTGATGATGAACTGCTCAAAGCCGTTCCTCTGAAACATGAAGAAAGGAGAGAGTTCTAGAAATTGTTCAACCAAATAACACTTCTGTATCTGTATCTGTTTATTATAGTCGGTAAAGCATCCCAGGGGAAACATAACACCAACTCAGAGAGAAGACAATGAGAAGAAATGACAGTTTTAGAGGTGGGACGCAAAGCCCAGAAGATATTCTGGGGAAAACCCACGGAATCAGGTAGGGACTGAAAACCCAATCCACATATTGACACAGGAGGGATTTGAACCCAGGTCACAGCTGTGGAAGGCAAGGAAAGTACTGCTACGCCAACCTGACTCCCAACTTTTACTTAATCAAACCAACCCTATTGCTTTGTTAACCCTACCACTTCATCACAACTGAAGCCAATGTCCAAAGTTTCAATGTAAAGGCAATATAATGTCACATTAACCCTTTAGTCATTGAAGCACCCAAAACCGCCCTGCCTATTACTCCCTGTGGCACCCGAAACCACCCAAGCACCCTATAGTTGTATTGATTCTTCAGTGAATAAGCACAATGTAATACAATGTAATACAATGTAATACAGGTGCTAATGGGTTAACTGTGCAATAATTTAAACACATTTCAAGAAAGTTATGCAGTGCTTAAGTATGTAACTTACTTCAACAAATTATGGCATACTAATAGGTAGTCTTTTAGGTGGCATCAGTTTCAGTGTATAAATCATAGAGCTTGATTGTTATAAAGCCTGCCATTGCTCACCTCAGTAATTAAGCTTGATATACTCACAGATTTGTTTTGAGGGTAATGAAATGTTTGTTGCACAATGAGGGAATTTTGAGAGTTACCTTGTAATTTTTAGCAAACACTTTAGCTTAAAGAAAAACTTTGAAACTGGCCATTTTTTTATTGTGATATTTTCAAAGTTAACAGTCATATTTGGTACTTAAAGCTGCAATTGTCTGTATCACTGTTTCTTAAATATGGCTCTTTCAAACTTATGGAGATGGATTGTATTTCTTGTTATGCTTTGTATAGTCCACTTGAAAAGTAAGGGAACCACTTTAAATTTTTGTGAGGGCAAAGATGAATTTCTATGGCAGTTACATCTTGCATGTAATCTTAGTTTCTAACATGTTTAGAATTGCCCTTTTCAGACGTGGAGGCCCAACTCAAGGACTGATGTTACTTTTTTTATTCACCTGAAACTCAGGATAGAAAAAGTCTTTCATTTACCTCAAAGATCTCAAACCCGTAGATGTCCAACACTCCCATGACTTTCTTTCTCCCTCCGATCTTGACCTGTTGATGTCGTGATCAAAAAAGAAAATGAAGGTGAAACTATAACAAGAACTCAAAATCTGAAACTGGGGATGTTGTCAATTTCTTCAAGGTTCTCTAATAGGCAAAGAACTGAAGGCATATGGGTCAAGTTTTGGCAGCAGACCCTAGAGAATACTAGTCTTTGACATTTGAGCAGATTTGCTGATTAATTATGCAAGACAACCGTATCTTGACCAATCAGCGGGCGTTTTCTATATCGGGTCTTCGGTCATTCACCGTTGTCACATCATAGACACGGACAAAAAAATACCCTAGACACAGCAACAAAGGCTGTGCTCACGTGCTCTGTATTATGTTATGAGATACGCGCCCGGCTGTTGTATTACAAAACACTGCATTTGAATTGACCAATCACACGTTTAGTCCTGATTTGGGAATAAAATGATGTCACGATTTAGTAAAGGCGGCTCCAATTGGCTGAGGCGCGAGATCGCATAAATCTGCATGCTTTGATATATCAGACGTCACACCGGAGATTTGGCTCCGTGGATAATCGGTGATACTCAGACTAAGAGAATACTGACAAAAGCACATTCTGAAGTATGCCAATAATTAAGACCCCAACCCCAGAGAAAGCATTACTATAAGTGTGTATTCAATCCCTAACACCCAATATATCCCTTTGTTTCAGCAATAATGGGCTGGGTCCCGCTCACATATGTAAAAATGGTACAGGCGTACTAAATCTTTTTGGTTGACCTACCCTGATACTCTCGTTTATAGTCTTGACAATCCAGGTGAAGAGCCTATCATAGATGGCCTTGCACAGGGCATCCCTGGCGTAGAACGCTTGGGATGAACTGAGTGTCGTGATGACCTTGTCTCCCTTGCCACCACGGACCGTCCGTTTGGTCAGCCCGTGCATCACGTCGTGGCGCTCGCACTGCAGCATATCGCACACGTCGTCCAAATCTGAAAAGAATTGTAATAAAAGCAACGTGAACACAGAAACTGGTAGAGTATGAACCCGGAACATTCGGAACATTGTACTTGCACTCAACCAACTGAGCTATCCGGGTTAAAATCAGCTGGCTCCCGATCTGTCATTGTCTTTGTTCGCAGGGCGCCAGTCTGAAGCTTTTAACCTGTGTCAACAAAGTGGTCAGAGAGAGTGCCAAAGTTACAATACTGGATATACCAGCAATACTTGAAAATTTCGAAATGAAAATCTGTTATCAATCTGAAATGATTTCTCAGAAAAAGTCAGGCTAACTATTTTACAAATTTCTGTGCTCCACCAGTGAAGTTACCATTTAGAGAAAATAGTATCTTGTTGCACAAAATCATCTGAACACCTTATGTAAATCAGGAGTTGTGGTGAGCACAGCCATAAAACTGAGCTAGTACATGTCTGTCAATGGAGAGGGTTTATATGAAAATGGTTATGGTTAGCGCATCAGATAGATCATCAGTTTATTCGGTTTTGATACGTCACACACAGCACTATCCACTACACGTGTTCATGGCATGGATAAATTGCTTGCCAGGCGTCAGCGTGAAGGTCAAAGTAACTTGTTAATTTTTCATCTTCATCTCCATTAATTTATTGAATCATGTATGATTTGACTGAAGGAAAGATTACACGGATTGGCTAGGCCCCGCCCACTGCAGACCTGGTCGACAACTCGTGTGTCTTTCCAATGCCAAAATGCATACTCAAGCTGTGCACATCATACGCACGTGCACGCTTGTCAAACTTGTCGGACATAAATCATGGCTGTGGTCCATTGCTGGACATGTTTGTGTCATTTGTCTATGTTTCAAAGCAAGATTAGTGAGATACAAGGCTTTCAGTGGTGGCAGCCATTTTGGATTACTAATCTGTATGCATAAACAATGCGAAACACGGGACTGGCAAATAATGGTCCCAATAGCTAAGATCATAACACCTCATCCACATATTCTGTGTCTTGATTGGCCGAGAGCGAGTCACATGGTACTTTCTATTTTTGCTATCTTTCAGTGCTCGGCCAAAAGTACTACACCCGTAGCAACCAAAGTACTATACCATGGCGCGGCATTTGTGTGCAAATGCATGCTGGTGTGCGCATTGAGCATTGCGCGTAGTGTGTATTGTTCCCAAGAGAGCGCGCCACAGAGTTGGGTTTCGTGAAGGGGTGGTTTGGCAGAGAGAAGTTTATTTCAACTGTGTCCAGATTTAAATAATTTAAAATATTAAAACCAAGCAGAATCTGTGGGTGAAGTGTTATAAAACAAATACTGAATGCTTTATCTCGTGGTGAAGTAAAACTAGCCTGCCTCGGTGATCCATGGAGCATTCTATTTTCCCTCGGCTTCGCCTCGGGAAAAATAGAATGTCCATGGATCACCTCGGGAGGCTAGTTTTACTACACCACTCGAAGCATTCAATATTTGTATAATATAGGCGTATCAGTTAGCTCAATTCACCCTCATGACACATACCTTCTTGGTTGGTGATCTTGACTCCCTCTGTTCCGTTCATGGTTACGTATGCCTGGAACTCCATATTACCAAGCTTCAGGATGCTGGCTAGTAGCTGGTAGATGGCCAGAATCTCCTCATCACTGAAACCTATGATCTGCATTGCTTTCTGTTAATAAGAAAAAAATTAACTAATGTCATCAACAGGTCTGACCTACAAATATGTATGTTATGTCACCTCACCCACCCATAGATTTGGTCTTTTGAATGTACATCTTGAGAAGCTACTTTCATGACACTAATCAAAGCAGCCAGTATTTGTATACAACAAACTATTAACTGCTTCTTCAAAAGTGATGTGTGAATATTGCAGACGTGTGCAACAGATAAATTCTCACTGTCACAGAATTAAGTCACCAAGGAGTCAATAGTTACCTAGTGAGGCAGTCAATAGTCATCTATTACCTAATGCAAAAGTGATGTGTGAATATTGCAGGTGCGGCAGAGAAATTCTTATTTGACACTGATTTAGGTCAACACTGACATACAGTGAAGGAGGTAGTTACCTAGTGAGGCAGTCAATAGTCATCTACTGACTGCTTATGCAAAAAGTGATTATGAATATTGCAGGCGACAGAAATCATTAATGTCACGGAATTAGGTTAACTATGACAAACAGGCAGTCAACAATCATCTACTGCAGCAGTCAATAGTCATTTACTGACTGCTTATGCAAAAAGTGATTATGAATATTGCAGGTGACAGAAATCATTAATGTCACAGAATTAGGTTAACTCTGACAAACAGGCAGTCAATAATCATCTACTGCAGCAGTCAATAGTCATTTATTGACTTCTGATGCAAGAAGGTTATGTATTACCCGTGTATTACAGATAAATTCTCGTTGTCACTGATTTAAGTCACCTGTGACAAACAGGCAGTCAAAAAGTCATCTACTGAGGCAGTCAATGGTCGTCTATTGAGACATGCAATAGTCAACTATTGACTGCTGATGCAAAAACATTATGTATATTACCTGTGTGATGGAGAAGTTTTCATTGTCATTGATGTTGGTGGCTATCTGCGTGCCACTCTGGCTCAGAAAATGATGGCATTTGGGATCTCGCTCCAACCCCAGCTCCTCTGTGAGTCGGAAAACAAATCAGTAAATTGTTGATTTACTTCCAGAGCAACAGAAAAATGTATCAACAGGCAAGAAACAAGCTGACAACTTGATTTGCATAAAAGTAATCAAATCATATAACGTCTGTAATGTCTTTGAAACATGTTACAAATCTTTCAGCTCTACAGAACATCTGAGCAATTGGCAATATCTTTGTTTGTTTTGTTTTGGGTCTTTTTTTTTATTACCAAGTAGAATCTTTGGTGCTCCTGAAAGCAACTGGTAGAACATGTGGAAGTTTCTCTCGCCTTTGCTTTGTACAACTACACGAGACTTTTCCAATAGATCTGTGGGGGGAAAAAATTGCAAACGTACAAATTCATTTATACAAGAAAAAAATACATTTTTCATTAAAATGATCACTGAAATGATTTTAAGTATGAGAAGTGAGTGTAATGTGAAAAAAATGTCAAGGAACTGCTGAATATTCTTTACATCACTCTGACGCAAATTCCATCTTATGAATACTTTCATTGCGGTTCCCGCTGCTGCATGTATATCTGATTCGAACCAACCAGCCGACCCCGGCTAAGCTTGGTGGTCGAGTGGTTAGACATCTGCGCTAGTAAGCAGGAGGTTGTGGGTTCGAGTCCCACCCAAATTATTTTTTTCACACAATCACTCAGGGGGGCAACACCGAGTATACAGTGTTTATAAAATACGTTGATGAAGGGCAAATCCCAATAATGAATTTACATCACCCCGATGCAAATCTTATGAGTATTATTAAAACACATCTCAATCTTAATAATTTTTAATAATTGACATATTTGACGGGACAAAATAAGGTTGAAAAATACTTAAGAACTTGTGAAAAAAATAACAATTACTGGTACAAAAAAACAATACAAAGGATTTCCCAGCTGAAACATTCTCAGAATGAATGGTGCAAGGGATTTCAGACTTTGTGCCTTTCCTGTGCAAGGCTTGAGGTCAATCTCCTTAGGAAACAAACACAGATTTTATCCGCATTCCTATATTTGGCAAGATTCTAAAAAACTTACAATTTGTGATGACTCCACCGATTGGGTCCCCCTTGTAGTCAAACTCTATATCCATGTATTTACCCTGTGCACAAAAAAAATACAAATTTTCAAAAAAATCTGAACTGTTTATTTTGGCTGAGCTGGTTGAAATACAAATAGAGGCCAAATAAAAGAAACTTTACCACGCAAGGGAAACGTTTGGTCAAACTTTTTGTCACGCAAACTTTTTGTCACACAAGGGAAACTATACAGGCTAACCAATGGATGACCAATGCTTCTGAGTGTTTTCAGCTACATGTATATTTGAAGTAGTTGTAATTTGAGAAAGAACACTGTCTGCAGTAAGAGTTCACAGACACATAAAGTACATACAAGGGAATTTTTTTCAGCCGAAAAACTTAGCAAAGGCTACGTGACCATTCTTTGGGAACAATTTTCCGGCTATTATCCAGAACATTCACTACAGATGAAACATTTTCTTGATTATAAGGACCCAAGATGACCCACATATCCTTACACACTGTATTCCTTTTGGACAAAAATATAACAAAACAAGGAATAGAAAAGATAACATTAATGAAAAATCCAAAGTAGTTTCGGGCTTTCTATAAAACATGTCTTGCATTTGTGTCCATTTGAACAATTTGGGGAAAAAATGACATCATGCAAAAAATCAAAACTGGTTTTGGTCTTCTAAACATATGTTTTTCATTTGTGACCGAATTCCCCAAATTATCGACCAGGGACAAAAATATATTTGCATGAGATTACAGACATGAATGAAACTCTTCCTGTGCTCTACCAATAAAAATACTCTGCGCTATATTTGAGCACTCTCAAAGCTGGGGAATTTGACGTGCATGTACATCTTGCCGTATGCGACTAACTTTTCCCTTCATTCGGAATACGAATAGTTGACCTATGGGTTAAGCAGGAACGGGCCTCGCTAATGAGTTAAATGTGTTGAGGGATAAAGAGAAAATAGGTCCAAGTCGGAAGGCTAATCTTAGGGATGTTGCTCCCAGCGTCATGCATCGCCAACACAGAGATATTTATTCTTCACAAATTGTGGCTACCGGCATTTCAGAAATGCTTTTAGCTGTGTAGGGTATACGCTATGCTCAAAGGCATATCGTTTGCAAACATAACGAGAAAATACCACATAGATTAAATATTTTAGTTTTATACGGACAAGAAAATTGGTTACGTGAAAACTTACAAATCTCGAAGAGTTATCGTTTCTGTTTGTTTTTGCATTGCCGAAAGCTGTAAACAAATAACACAAAAGGCAAACAAATAAAGGGCTGAATTTTTTTTTTTTTTTTTTTTATCATCAAATAAACAAATTATGGATTATTCCACTTAAAGCCACGTAGGATCGTTTACAATTACCCGGAGAAGTACATGTACCTACAAATTTTATGACGGAGGCCTTTTTAAAGTGAAGATAGGACTGGTATCAAATACCCCTTGAAATTATCTCACCTGAAATGGTATCGTTTGCGAGAAAACTATGTAGCATTGAAGGCGGTTTCAATATGGGCTCCATGCGCCAACAAAAGAGGGCGCATTTTTACCACTTTGGAGAGCCCCTTGGACAGGACGCCACATGTGCGCACTGTACTGGTTCGCGTGCGAATTTATCCTGAATGTGCACAAAGCTGAGCCATAGAGCCTTCGCCCGTGAGCGTCAGGCGTCATCGGCGCACGAATACGTTCAAATTTAACTTGCAATGGTCTCGCAGACTAGTCCCACCCCCAATAACTTTCGATCATTCAAAATACGCAGTGGATGGATCGGGAACCAGTCTAGCTCTCCCCCAACTCTCCTTTTCTGGCAGTTGAAGGGGTACTTGTGCACGGAGCCCATAGTGTACCCGCGGGCACACTTTTTACAAGCGTTAGCAACAGAATCCAGTGCATGCATGTACATGTACTTGTGTAGTATCCACCGAGATTGCATTGAAATTTCAACAGGTTAGTTGTTATGCACTTTACTTAAGATATTGAGCTATTTTGATGCTTCAAATGAAAAATTGTACGAAAAGCAAATGATCCGATGTACCTTTAATACAAAAGAGACTGGTTGTGCAAGGTTTTTCTTAGGAGGAGCAGTGGACTGTTCACTATTAAACAGACAGCTGCAAAGTGCACATAAAATGCTGACATAAACCTTCAAAAATCTGAAATGTGGTTTTGCCAGATGGTTTTTGATAACTACATGTAAATTTACTTGGGTTACACTATGGCAGACGTATGATGAGAAAGCAGCCATCTCGTGCAAATGCTGCTTCAAACTTGAACCAATCAGGGAAGTCCTTACAAATACAGTTATAAAGCACCGACTTTTAAAGAAGCATCTCGATTGGTTCATTTGCTTTTGAGAGCCTCTTTAATACCAACAGACTATTTCAACAATCAACCAATCACAGAATCCCTTATCAAGAACATTACAAACTCCAGAATTAAGCTGCTATCCAATAGGTCATTACCTTCTAACACTGGGTTGCTCTGCAACAATTGTTCCTTGACTAAATCCACGTCTTTGCCCTTGCCACAAACGGCAGCTACGTACTGCATAACTACTTTGCTGGCCTCTGCAAACAGAAAAATCACAAAGTAAGCAGAGGAAGAAGAAAGACAAATAGTCCCCCTGATGTAAATTTTTCAAAAATTGCACAGCTTGAATATTTCCAGCTGATCAATGAACCAATCACTGCCAGAAAAAAAATGTTAATTCAAATAATTTCACCACTTTTCAAGGCTCCTTTGGAATAGAAGCCAGAAAGTTATTCCATTTCTTTAAATTGTTTCCCAACCAAAACTTTGAGAATGGAAATAAGCCAGGTCGCTGATAATTATCCGTGGCCATGTTTCTAGATGGTATTAAACATACTTGTATAAAACCGGCCGAGCACATTTTTATTCCCATTCATAAACACCTTTCTGTCAAAAAGTAAAAACAAGCCAAAAATTCACAAGTTTCCTACGATTTGGTTCAACAATTTACTTCATGTTTTGGACATGTCTATGGTATGTGCCTCATGCGTGCAGTCCTAAAAATCTCCTTATATGGAAATTGGTGCATGCGCGGCGCGTACTGTGCAATGTGGTGCAAGACGCAGGAATTGTGTTTAAAACCAGCTGGTGTTTTGATCAGCTGTTTAAAACCACCCACATGATGGGCTCTTGACCAATAGGAATAGGTAAACTGTCTCAGGTACTTATGAATGATATCATACCACTATCTCTGGTCTTGCTACATACATGTAAAATTAGAATCAAAACATCCTTGTAACTTATCCAACAATGTACAAATGCATGTCAACATATCTCTGATGGGAAGCGTATCTTTGGACGGGAAGTGAGCCCACCTACCTGTCTTTCCTGCACCGCTTTCCCCCGATATAATCACACACTGGTCCCTGTTTTTGTCCCGCATATCCCTGTAGGCATCGTCGGTTATGGCATATCTGATGGAACAAGCCAAAAGAACAATACAGGAAAGGCCATGAAACAAAAGGGTATTCTGTGTTTATCCTGAGAGAATCAGCATTATAATTACTGCTAGTGGGTAGTATACAATACATGTACAACAAGGTTTGCGGGTAGTGGAGGGAAATTACTGGTCCAGAGATGTTGACTGATTTGACTGCCTTTCAATGCAAAATGGGGGGGGGGGGCTATATATATATATAAGAAAAAAGGTATAAACCTTAACCCTCCGAGACAGTGTTATAGTCAAGTCCATCACAGGTTCATCACAAGTCCTTTCACAAGTCCAGTCACAATTAACAGGTGGGTGAACAATTCGTCACCGTTTTCACGAAGGGGCGAATTTCATGAAAATTGTCTGTTTTTCGAAATTTAGGTTTTTTTGTGAAACTGAATAAATATATCACTATCTACAACCTGGTGAGGCTATACTTTCAAAAAATTAATTAAAATCTTAATTAACCTAATTAACAAATTGGCGAATTTGCCAAAAGTGCTGTTTTACATTTTCACGAAGGGGCGAATTTCCGCACTCTATTGGTATTAATAAATTGTCAGTAAATAAATACATTGTAATACAATGGCGCGTATATCACGAAGGTGCGAATTCCATGCGCGTGCAATATAACGTTTTCACGAAGGGGTGAATTTCAAGGCGCATGCGCAGTGGGGCACAATCTGCGCACACTGTACAAAAAATGCATTGACTCAGACGAAGGGGCGAATTTGCTAATTGGTCTTTTTTTCCGTTTTCACGAACAGCCACTTCTCTTAATTGATTAATTCTGCAAAACTAATCACCTATTTTTCTTAAAGTTTGCTACATTTAGGAAGATTAGAAGCTCTTCTTTCCTCTGATACCTAAATCTTGCATATTTTATGCATCTTTAAGTTTCAAATTGTCAAAAGAAAAAGGGACCAACTTTAAACGCGATTAGGACCAAATGGAAGGAAGAGAAAAAAAGAAAAAAGAAAGAAAAAAATGTATAAGGACAGGGATGGAAAGAAGGGGAGAATGGAAATGAAAGGAAATGGTAAGAACTGAGCAAGAAGTTGGCAAAATCACTCAATCACTTGAACTTTCAGATTTGGCAATATTCTTTTTCTCTGGGTATCACTCACATATGAGGAGGCAGTTCATAGAGGTTCATTCCCCGGTATTCCTGAATCTTGTCCAGTGTGTACAATGGTAGCTTCTTGTAAGGGTTGACAGAGACCACCACACTCCCAATGTAGGTCTGTCCAGGGGAAGAGAAGAAAAAACAAAGACTGTTAAAAGGATAATTTCTAACAAGCATCAATATACTGTATGAATATAAACTTGTCACTATAGATACGGTACTGTGTCTATAATCGCAGGTACCCAAGTACCGGTATACTCCTGTGTACAGAGAGGCAATTGTAGTAAAGTGACTTGCCCAAGATAACAAAACACCATGTTCCCTGCCCGTCAGGGTTCGAACCCACGCCCCATCACATGAGTTGGACACTGTAACCGATGGATCAAAGTGCTATACAATGTCCTTTGGTCTCTTTCTGTACCCTTATTCTTCAGATCCTTCAAACGCCGCCAGGAGGTTTTTTTTTTAAGGACTTACATGTACATGTAGAAGGATTTTACAATTAAAAGGTAGACCTTGAGCAGCCTCCATGTTTTTGTACAGGTACCATACAGTACATGTAGTTTGATGTGAAGGACTTGATGCACAGTTGGGGATTTTTCAGGCTTAGTTTTTGGAATGATCACACCAGGTTACATGTTTCAGATTTGTTATTCATTTTGAGAGTAAAACAGTGCATGTGTACATACATGTATACATTTGTGTAGCGCATGCATTTCATGTCATTCGTTAAAATTGATTCATAAATACGGTACCTGAGACAGTTTACTCATCTCCATTGGTCTACAGCCCGTCACGTGGGTGGTTTTAAACCGCCGGTAAAACACCCTGCACGACATCGCGCAGTATGCGCCACGCAGCCCCAATCTCCATTAAAAGAGATTTTTAGCACTACTTGCGCGAGTCTCAAACCATAGACATGGCCAGAGGGGGTGTTTCACAAAACATGAAGAAAAATGGTTGAACAAAATCGTTCAGATTTTGTAAATATTTGGCTTATTTTGCACATATTTATATCCTAAATAAAACTTCAAGTAAACTCATCAGGCATTAACACAACTGCAGAATTTCGGAGGAGGGCAGTTCTAGCACTTAAGAGCTCAGTCAAGCCTGAAAAATGTGATTTTCAAATGTGACTCGTCAATCATAGAATCATCATTATGTAATTTCGGTGACAGAGCTTTTAAGAGCTCAGTCAATAAGCCTGAAAATGTAATTTTCAATTGTTACTTATCAATCATCGAGTAATATTTAATGGTCAAGGAGATTACAGACTAGGAGTTTGGATCGTTTTGCAGAATCATTAATTAGATATTTCATGGTTTATTGGTTCCGTAACGGAAATCCCTCTTCTTTTTCATAACTCTGGAATTGGCCAGAACCAAGGGGAAGATATCATACATTTACATATTTCCATCGCTAAATGTTATAAGAAATATAAATAAATTTAGGGCAAATATTTCAAAGTTCAAGAAAAACACGAACATTTTCAAATCCATTATTAGCATACTTTGCAAGTGATCAAGCGTTTCTTTGACTGCAAGAAAAGTACAAGGAAAATTCCTTGACAATAATTCTTCAATACAATATGAACATGTCTGTAAATAATAAACGCATTCTTGTGCACATAAACAAACGCACGAGGGTGTGTCAGAGTAAAGTGCACCACGCAACCAGACAGATGTGCGGGCTATCGAGGATTCTCCAACTATTGATTTCTGACGTGCCCATGTGCATTAAAGCCTCAGCTTAGTGCTGATGAAAAAAAAAATCGCACTGGCAGTTTCTTCCCAGGCCCAACATCTGGTCGCTAGTATGACAGTACCTTTTCCAATCAAGGGAGTTTGGACGGGATCAAATGTAAACCATTACCTAAAAGGGGTATAAATGTATGTTGTATAACTGTGTGACCTTTTTTGGGGTTGTTATTTCCAAACCATTTCCTCAATCGTAAATGGATCAGCTATTGTTTTTTTTATATTAGCGTTAGTTTACAGAAAACAGGAAACTAGTACAATGTATACTGGACAAACATGAACGAGACATGACAGGTAGCTTTTGATTGTCATGCAAATGCTGTCTGTTGTACCAGCATAGGATACTATACATGTACATGTAAAATCGTTGTTGGGAAGTAGTCCATGTCATTTTGGATGCACCGAGGGTACCCGATTACCCGACCACTGATGTCAGAACCAGTTCCAGATTGCAGGATCAGGTACCCGTAACCAAGTTTAAAAATTACTCACATGTAGTAACTTCTCAAGACAATGAAAAAGAAAGGTTCTGAATACTTTTTGTGAGGAATGTTGAAACTGAAAACACATCTCACGTTTAAATGTGCATTTTAACGCACGACAGATTGCGCTTGTGACAGTTGCAGTTTATACCATAAAGAAAGCCCTTCAGACAACTTCTAGGATTTGAATTTTTGGGGTTGGGTTTCTTATATGGGTACCCGGGTACCCGTGCTTTACTCAATACCAGGTGGGTATACTGGTTCCCATTCTACCCGTAAATGCACACCACTATACAAATCCCGTGGACTGTATAACAGACAACAAGTGTTTGTTTAACCCTTTAACCACCCCCAACTCCATCAAAATCCATTCCCCATTTTGGTGGATTTTGGGGGACTTGGTCCAGAAGGCCTGGTGCGACTAAATATTAATGGAGTATGATGGACTTGGGCCTAATGGCCTGAAGCAGCGCTAGGGGTATCCGATTGATTTGCCTAGCTTCCTGTACATGTACTGCTATTGTGATATAAGCCATGTTTAGCAAGTCCATGAATGTTAACCAGTGTGTCAGTGGTGGATTCCATTATGTCACGTACAGTTTTGTATTAGACGCACAGTGATTGATGGATTTTGATGGAATCGGCCCAATTCCTAGTAAAAGACACTAGGGAGTTAGGATTAATACACAAAATACCAATTTTGAGATTTGAACAATAACCCTCCTATGCAAACATACACTCTGTGCAAAGTTGTCCTTTCAGTCAAAATCAATCAAGTGACTGTTGTCAACAGTTGAGAGCTCCCAGCCTACGACTGGCTGTGACTGTTTATGTACATGTACATGAAACTTGATTCAGCTTTGACTGTACAGGTAATTTGGGCGATTCACAATGCAGTGCGCCACCAAGAGTTTGCCACGGAGAGTCCATCTTTCAAGTTTACGGTCGACAAAACATGGCCCATTTGAATGAGTGTCTGTGAGAACTTGAGCTAATATGTCATAGATTGGGGGATAGCGTTCTGCCGCCTTACCAAAAACACCATATTGATAACAAGAAAAGAAATGTGCAAACAGAGCCTTGAATCATACGCTTACGAAACCACTGACCGGAAAAACTAACGATTTCAAATGTCCCGCGCTGCGAATATGCGAATCTCCCACAATGCACTGGGAAAATGAACTCTCCGTGGCAAACTCTTGGTGGCGCACTGCATTGTGAATCGCCTTAATTGATAAGCGAGCTGTGCCTTCTTTGTGCCTGCTTTTGTCTGTTGACTGAATTTGACTAGTCACAGTGCTTGCTTAAAATATGATCTGACTGTTGGTGACTAGCCAGTGTAAAAGGCATGGCAGGGGAAGAGGATTAATTTTTTTGACTGTCTGTGACTGTTCGAACAGCAGGAGGGTTAATGCCTATTTACCTTGAGAGCTAAATTGTAATGCAATTGAACTACTTCCCAACAAATGAGAAATAAATTGAACTCATTTTTAATGGTATTTGAGAGGCAGATTAAAAAAATCAGAGGTACATGTACATTGTACCAAGGACAGGAAAAAGAAACAATATCACTACATGAAATGACCCTATAATAATAAAGTGGGTTCAAAAATTGTAATGGCAATCATCGTCACACAGCATGATAAAGGCACTGTAAGCACTATGACTTTGTATTTAAGTAATTACTTGATCGTATCAGTGCTGCTTTAATTGATTGATGATTCTGAGTGCATGTGATTGTGTGATCTTCATCTCTCAGACGAGATCTAATGGATCTCCGAATATGAGACCATACTGCAACACCGGGGGGGGGGGGGGGGGGGGGGGGGGGGGTGTTGTAATCACAATGTAACATCAACCATGGGTACCATTAGTAATCACACGACTTTCACTGAAAAACACAAATGAGTTGGGTATGGTCCTGTTCATGTATGCCTGGAGGCTTAGCATGATAAAAAAAAATTCTCAGACAATTTGTCACCGGTTTCACGAAGAGACGGGCATGTCAAAATTGACATTTTTTTCGATTTCTAGTTTTTTTACTACATGTATTTTGCTTTAAAACATGGTACTCAAGCATTCTGACATATTTCCGTAAGCAAAACATCTTTAATTCCTGAATAACATTAATGACGCCAGGGGTAGGCATATCGATAAATGCATTTTGCGATTTCACGAAGAGACGCGAACATGCCTGCCCCTTGAACAAGTACAAAACGTATTGCACGGAGAGGCGTAAAAGTAGGTCAACAGGAGATTTTCGATTTCACGAAAGGACGGACATCTTTGTTACATTCTCAGCTGCGTGCGCGTGATCGAACACGCGCGCCCTTCCCTATGGAAAAACACATTAAACAAGAAGTGCGTAATTGTGAAACTGTGAGATTTTCGATTTCACGAAGGGACGGGCATCTTTACTAATTAATTTTGGCTGATTAACCACTTTATTAATTATAATGAATGGGTTCAAATGAAAGTTTACCTATCAAAGAATTACGTCATTGTTTTCTTATTGCATAAAGTTGTTGCAAAGTAGTAGTTTTTGCAGTTTAAAAACGGAGAAACTTCTCTTGCGATTATCTCGAAAACGGTTTTCCTTCAAAATCCACATGCCCGTCCCTTCGTGAAACCGGTGACGAATTCCCATCTGATGCATTTGCTACCAAACAACTGGTAGACCGAGTTCTGTGATAAAAATTACTTGTCTCATGCTGCCTCATAGAGCTACATTATATTAAAAGTGCTAACTCCTCAATCTTGCGCGCGGAGACGCTTTGAAGCCGCTCTGGGTGCAGACATTTTGAATTTATGTGCGTGTTTGTAGAACACAATCAAAATAAATGGATTGAATTTTGAAAGAGTAGGGCCTACTCTAAATGCAACGTGCAAGTAAAAGATACGCAAACAACTTAAGCACGTCATGACGGTTCAAAAAACGTCACGGTGAAAAGCATCTGCAGCGGAAGGACGCACACATGTTGCGCTGTTGCGTAGAGCAAAATGAAACGCTCATTTGCTGATTGTGCATTTTGGTTTTGGGCGTATCGGCTTTGATGACGCACCGGTATGGAATACAAACGCAGATATGCAAATAGCCGTACAAAAGCCGTACAAAATTTCGAGCTTTCCATAGGTTTGTTTCACAAACAAGGATGCGCCCATCAGGCATTACTTTGTACATCGAGTTAGCACTCTATAGATAGAGCTCTATGTGCTGTCTACACGTATTAAGTTAAATATGACTAGACCAGTGGTCTAGGGGTTTATCACACTACAGTCAGCTTTCATCAAATTATTTAGTCCATTTAAGTTTTCATTTGACCAAAGTCAAAGGTTCATCTATGAATGAATGTTCATCTTATTTTCGTATCTCATTTCCCACGTAAAACAGCAAAAAAGAATATTCCTGTACATTTTTGGTTAATTTTTTTTTTTTTACAGACACATTGTACTGGTAGTGTAATACTTTTAGTCAAATTAACTCTTTGAGCTATGCGTTCTTAAATCTGGACGATTGTTACCAGAAATTTGAGCCCTGATTTTACACTGTACACGTGGCAGTAATGTGCACCATAAGCACCATCAATCGCTTTTACTCGATAATTCAATATTATTTTGGCATCGATATTGCCCGTAGCATTTTTTAAATTATATCGAAACATCAAAAAATTTGATATTGAGATATGATATCAAAAATATTGAAAAATGCGTCAGTTTGTCGTCCAAATAAATTTTGTGTTGAGCGTTAGCTGTGTAATGAAATAAAACTTGGCGGATACTTGTGCTTGTGACTGAAAATAAAAACATCAGAAAATACCAAGCAGCGACACTTTGTGCTCTGCGTTCGCTGGAATGCGCAGTCTCCTCAATGTGAAAAAAAATAACTCAAAAGAAGCCGCCCGTTCTGGACAAACTCTCAGTGCTGAAATATATTTTAAAAGTTTGAGCAATATGCTCAAGAGATTGCCGTTGGAAATTGAGCACTCAAAAAATTTTTTTTTTTTGCTTGAAGAAGTTCTGTTGTCTGTAACTTTCACACAGGATAATCGATACATGTATCGAATATACTCGATATTGTTATTCCCGTTATATCGATTATTGAAAATTCGGATATCGACGGTGATTAGTGCACCAGTGCACTTGCAGTAGCATATAAGTTTTGTTGGACATGATAGGCTTCACAAGTTGAACATCGTCGGGTATTCATTGTTGATATTTGTTCAATTGTGCAGTCAGCGCAACAACAAAACATAAGCATGACCAAAAAAGTACCGAATTCCACATTTTGCTGGAATTTTCTGCATTCATTTTCAATGAACCAAGAAGTGTGGGTAGACCACAGACATGTACTGTGCATTCAACTGATTTGTCGTGCACAATATTTATTTTTTTTTTTTTTGGTGTGTGACTCCCTGAAAAAAATTACAAATTGATTTGCCACTGAATAAAAATAATAATAATAATAATAATAATACCAGAGTCTTATATGGAAGCGCATATATCTACTGTCGACAATTAGGTACTCAAGGCGTTAGTAATTATGTCTATTTTTAAAGACAGGTAAATGAAGCTTATGAGAAATATGAGACCCATTATGAAGCACCTTTATAAAGGGTACACAAGGTGCTGCGGCACATATTGCAGCCACTGCCAGAAACACCAGGGCAAACCCCTTCTCTTAGCGACAAGTGTTACTGGGTTCTTTAACGTGCATTACACAACACACGGGACCACGGCTTTACATCCCATCCGAAGGACGAAGCAATAATGGTTAAGTACCTTGCCCAAGAGCACAAGCACCATGTTCCCCATCAGGATTCGAACCCATGTACCACGGCACACGAGTTGAACACCGTAACCACTGGACCACAGTGCCCATATGTACATGTAACTTAATGTACCGGTAAACGTGAAGCAATAATTAAGTTCACTTAACAGAGTCCAGATTGTATTAAGGGTCTTTTGTGGGGCTGTCCCGACTATATACCGAATAGTTTAATATTCGGTCGAATATTGGATCATCAACCGAACATTCGGATAGCTTTTTGCCGGTTTGAAAATTCAAAAACAAAAAAACTATGCACACATACACACACAACTGTGATGTTATTTCATCGTAAAGTTGCGGCGATTTATTGCCAGGTGCCACTTTTTTTGTCAACGGTAACTTTTTGTCAACGACGGTTCATTGTTCACAACCTTTTAGCAGGTTAAAGCCCTTTTACAGTTATAAAATACTTCCTGCAAAACACTCCAGTGCCTCATATCGACTGCAGCATGCAAATTTTAACTGACACACTCTTCGTGCAAACTTTTTACAGGCACATTACGCAGTTGCAGCTGGCAGTTTTAAATACCCAAATACTCGGTCAAACATGATTTCAAGTAATCAAATATTAACTTATTCGAAAATGGATAGCCCTAGTCTTTTGTGTTTGTCCAAAGAACAATTTTCTTGCACAGTGTGTTAGCAGGTAAAAATCCATTCAAAGGAATTTTTCAGCTGAGCATGGATATTATGATACTTTGTGCACAAGCCCCTCCTAAACGATGACAAAGAGAGCAAGTTGGGCCGATTCTTGAATGCAATGCTGCTGAATGTCTGCTATTCACTCCAAGAGGCAGCAAACCTGTGCACATTCAGCATGTTCAGAATGAAACTTAGTCACGCCTAGCTGTGTACTTTGTACGCAAACCAGTGTGTTCTGCATATGTATTTTATGCAAGAGGTCACATAGTCATGATCCAAAACTATTTGTATTTTGCTCCACTAAAGCAACCGATTAGTCCCCATCCCTTGCAAGCGGGGGCCAACCCTTTGCGACTGCGCATAAGGTATCCTTGGAATTTCTCGGGTCCCCGTGCCAAAGTTCCCATGGCTATATTTGATTCATCTTATCGGCAGAGCCCTTTACCCCCATAGCAGATTGACAAGGACAGATGGGTACATTAGGGGATCCAAAAAAGTAGTGGAATAAAAACAGGCTTTCAAGCAAACCCAGGTGAAACAGTACATTGTACCAGAAGGAGAACAGTAGGCCTGATATCGAAATTGTCCAAAGGACAGGACTAGTGGAACTTTGAAGGACAAAATCAGGATAAAAGTAGGGCTTTTGCGGGCTTTAAGGTGTAGTGTTCTTCGATACTCATTTATGTCAACAGCATCATATATAGGCCTCATTTGGCATGTTCTGTACTCACAATGCTTGTGCTCCATCCTCAACTAAGCTCTTGGAAGTACAGTTAAAGTACTCCAGGCCCTTCATTGTGTGATTTACATGACAGTGGGTAACACTGTTATGAAAAAATTTCAATCAGATTTCATATTTCGGAGTTGTGGGACAAAAAAAGTTGGAAAAATCAGGAATTTCAAGAAAAGGGTAAACAAGCTAGGAAAAAGTAGGAAAAGTAGGAACACGAAATCCAGTCTCGAACCACGGCAACTGAACAGGAAGTGCCATGTAGGTTCCAGCTTTCACCGACCCTACAATGAACATGTACATTGTACACACTGAAGACTACTCACATAGATGTCATTAGCATCAAAGCGGAGCTGGAGGTTCTTGAGGAAGGCGTCTTCCGTCATGGGATCCAGGAGAACGCAGTCTCCGACGCCCACCATGCCATCCAAGATGGTCTTGGAGTGTCCGTTCTGCTGCGCCATCTTGCTGTCAGGGGCGGTCCGGCCCTACACGGACCAACTTCACACAGATATGATGTGTTCAATGAGCTACGCTGTTACTTAGAAAGACCTGTTGGGAAGAAAATCAGAGTTCAAATATTTTTACTTAATCTGCCAACCATGTCACGATTAAACCTTCAGGCTTGTTGAGACACCAGAATTGTAAGTGCATGAAACTCGCATGACTTTTTCAGGGCAACATTTACACAGAAGACTGTATCAGGGTCCTATCACATTGAATTTTGACCAGAATAAAATTTACTCAAACTAATCTACATGTACATGTACATGCATGTTTGTATTTGTTTGTAACATTTCCCCTACAATGAGGATATGAAACTAAAAGAAGAAATTAGTAAAGTAGGAAACTATAACCATACTCCAAGGGCAGTTCTGAAAACTACTAAAAGGGTTTAAATGAGCAAATTGAAAACCACTGACTTTCACTACTAGTTTCTACAGTCCTAATCATTGTAGTACAGTACATAATATGGGTAAGACGTCTGCACTAGTAAGCAGGAAATATAAAGTGTGTTTGAGTCCTATCCAAGCGAGCTTGTACACATGTACATTTTCTTTGTACAAAATAGAATAATGTTGGCTAGCTGTGGCAAACCCCAGTATCAATTTCACACTTCACATACCATGGTCAATTACTGTGGACCCAAGTTAACATGAAGCAATGGCCACTGACCATCAGTTCAGATGACAGACCATGTACACATCCAATCAATATTTGTCATGTACAGTATTCCATCTACACATATTGATTGTTGTACATAACTGGCTGTAATACAAATGCCAGCTGAAATTTCCATAATGGCTCTCAAATTTCTCCATGGGAAACAAAATTCACCAAGATTGCTGTACAACATACCAAAAATAACAGTCTGCTTCATACTTTTTAATTAAAATCACTCACTGGCACAAACAACAGTTCAATGACTTTGAATGAACAGGGGTTGTATGAGTACTGGTACTGCTGATTATGAACTGATCATCACATACCATATGGTCACTCTCTTTGAAAAAAAAAATCATGGACAAATGCCCTCATAATATTGTTGGAAGCCTACAACATCAATAAGGGCACATCCTTAAATTTGCATATTATGTGAGAATTTTTGAGTTTCAAGCCCACTGAGGCAACAGCTTCTCAAATGGAACAATATGGACGGTTGGAGGTTGAACCTCTTCACGTTGAGGTCGTACGTCAACTGAAAGCCACACAAGTACCCGTAACAATGATTAAACTACTTTTTAGCCAATGTATGGCCTTTCCTCTTTTTCTGTATGGAAATATACATACCAGTACATGTACATGTGTATGTATTATGTCTTGCAGAGAATTTTGCCAAGTAAGAAAATAAACTAGTTTCTCGTCCCCGCCAACTTTCTTTTTCATGCCCGCCTCTCTCTCTCTTGTTAATTAACATTTGCAATTTATTTTGCAAGTATATTGTCAATATACCGGTATTGTCTTTTTATTTGTTTCCAACAAAATTGTACACATAGCTACCGGTATGTACCGGCAGAAAGGGTAACGTTCCTGTGGACACAATTTTGTATCAGCAAAGAGTCAAGAAAATGGAACAATTCATCCGTCGACACCTTGGAAAATCTGCTAGCATGGAAAAATAAAGAAAGACAAAAAAGCACCTGCGTTCTACTTTTAAAAAAAGCCAGGAAAAGAAACTATCATTTTTTTTCACTCGGCATTAAACCAAACTAAATGTATGCTTTATCAATATCATCAGGAAGTACATGTACGTACATGTACATGCACATGTACCTGTACTTGTAAATGCACACACCCCCAATTCTAAATCCTGCGTCCATAGATTTACAAAATATCTACAGGGCGAGAAAAAAAAAAACGGAACCCAAACCTCAAAAAAATATATTTCATATGTAAAAAAAATATGCAGCACCAAAAATAATGACTGGAAAGCCAATTTCATAAACTACTTTTAGATGCGAAAATTACTTAAATTGCTCAATTTGTTCAAAGTACATGTTATACGTGTACATTGTACATCATCCTTTTAAACACAATGATCCTAAAACTTCTTTCGTCCAAAAATGCAATTTCAAGAATCGTCATCGCAATTGTCTTCAAACATCAGCAGCGAAGAAACCTCAGTTTAAAAGTTCAAAATATTCAACAAATTCCTTTTGAAAGCCCGTCTTTTGAAGAAAGGTGGATTTTTATAAATCATATTGTTTGCCTAAGCAGGGTTGTTAATAAAGGTACCGGTATTGTGTACTACAGGTGTTGACAGTTTTTGAAACAAACTGTATTCTGTGTCATTTTCTTTGTTGTTCCAAAGAGTCAGAACACACAATAATTTGCTTCTTTTTTTGTGGACGAAACAGGTTTAAGGGTCATTGCGTTTAAACGGTGATTTTGAACGGATTGAGCAATTTCAGTAATATTTTTCATCTAAAAGTAGTTTCTGAAATTGGCTTTCCAGTCATTATTATTGTTGGTGATACATATTTTTTTAAATATGAAATATATTTTGGGGGTTTGGGTTCTGCTTTTTTTTTCTCACTCTGTAGAATGGTTTAAATTAAGCAGTGAATGCCACAGCAGAAAAACCACCCAAAAGTTATAAAAAAAAAAATTCCAAATTCCAATCTGCATGAACGCTTTGTACAAAATTTCACCTCAGCAACTTTTCTCTCCCAAGAGGCGAACCATGATTGAACTTTGTGACAAGGACTTAGGTACATGTAAATAATCCCCAAATACCTTGACTTTCATAAGCCTAAGGCAGAAAAGGCTCAGACAGGCATGTGGGCAGGTATTGTGTGTAGTATCTCACCTTTGCGAGAGTGTACAATATGTATGTAACTTTATCACAGCCTTTCTAGTCCAGCAGTCTGGATTACTCACTATTGATAACCGTTTATACTTGGTGCTTGTTTGATGTATTTTAAATCAATCAAAAGCATTAGGGAACATGTAGCACTGGATTTAGCACCGGACTTTAACTGGCAATGGCCAGGAACCACAATGCACATGTACACATGTAGACAAAGGTAATAATGCCAGTAACAACATTTGCAAACATCAAAATGCAGTACTATCAAAGATCGTATATAGGGGAAGATAGGACAATGCGCTGAAAAAAAGTGAAACAGGAAGTACTTGCTCAGAGGTCACGATAGGGAAGGGGCCCCCCCTAGTGGTAGGCAGGTAAAAAGCAGATTTGCTCCATGCACTCAACGCGATAACTTAGTTGTGCAAAGCTGCAAAAATATTGTTTTTCTTTGGTAAAATCATGCAGATATGTAACATTTTAAAGCAGTTTATTCTCTGATTACTAGCACCACTCATGTGCTTCATGGAGAAATGCCAGTAAAAGTGCCCAAAACTTTTTTGACAGTTGGCAAAATACTGTATATTTTGCTAATGAGCTTACTCTACATGTACATGTATGGATTCAGAGATAGGGGTGGTAATATGAACAATTTCTCCCTATTCTTTCCATTTTGCATCATGTTATTATTATTGGTTATGGCTTATTATCAACAGGATTTTTGTTTACAGTAAACAATATATCTTTTAATTAATCTTTAAACTAATTGAATAAATTATTAATGACGTTATTTTTCTTTTTTAACACTATACAATGTATGTATTTTTTAAAGTGTACAGTGCTTTTAATGTAATATAAAGCGATTTTAAAATAATCTAAATTGTTATTATACCATCATAAAATTTAAGGGGATCATATAAGCATTGTATTCATGTTATGAGCAATGGGTTATACTTCGAAAATGATTTATTCATAATTAATACTAAAAATAAAATGCAGATTTTTTTTTTTTCAAGGCAAAAAACTTGAAGGGTGTTTCCATATTTGAACAACTTCAGGAAAGTTGTAGACTTTTGAGCAATCGCCGCTAACTTACATAATTATTATATTTTTCTGATAATTATTGATAAGCATTGCTAAAACATTTATCCCCTCCCCCCCCCCCCCTTTCATTGATTTATTTGTTCATTCATTTATTCCTTTATTTTTTTTAATTCATTTCTCGGCGTATTCGTCTTTTTAATATTTTTTGTGTTTCTTCTCAATGAAAATTCCGCTTGCAATTTACACCTGATGTCATATAATTCACGTTGTAATTCACCTTAGCCACACGCACGTTTACCTACCTACCGTACGGGGCACCCTTCCCCATAGCCCAATTTGATGATGTCATCGTGTTTCAAAGGTCACCATACAAAAAGATACCCAGTGTCCTATCTTCCCTTTAAAGGATCTTTGGTACTACCAAATTATTATGAAATACCTTACTTATCTGTAAATGAATGATATACATGTAGTCTCGAGCATCCTGTGAAATCATGGCACCTGGTGTGCTGTAATTTTCAAGAAAAGTGGAATTTTTGTACCCATCGTTTTGTATCCACTACCCCAAATTTGCCACATTTAGTTAGTCCACATTTTGTTTGCAATCGGTTATACACACCCATGAACGGTGCAAGCCAGCTAGTCTGGTTCCCTGACCTGACAATTCCCCGACGGATGATCTCGTCTGAAGTAGGGTCAGGAAACCAGGCTAAAAGAGCAGCATTTTTACTTGGTTTTTCCAGCGTCTATGAACACAAAACTTTAAACAGGTCAGTGTAACAATATTTGCTATAAAATACCAACCTCCAAATCCATCCATTTCTGATAATTACATGTACATGTACATGTATGTACAGCAAAAGCAAATGTTGTACATATTACCTTTAAAGTTTTTAGAAACTGCCAGAAGTATAAACATCGATCGAGTCAGGAATCAAGTATGTTCATTAAAATGAATATGACAAATAAAAACTAGGCATTTTAAGTTTCTACCCGAAGTGTACGAGGTATATTCCGCCACTCTGGGGTTTAAGAGGAAATTTTCCGAAAAGGACTCTTGCATGAGTACACACAATACAAACAGACAAAACTGAAACAAGGAAACTCTCATTG